GGCAAATTGTCATTCCTAACTCTAGGGTGGCTATTGATGTAATGCCTCGAAATAATTACGATAAAACCATCTTGCGTCAGATATTAAATAATAACCTATGTCTGAATATAATATTCACTTATTTATAAGGTTTTATCTCTTTATAAAACTGTAACACATGCAACAATACATTCATAAGTCCTAACCATGCATCTATAACATCTGTCATAATAAAAAATATGAAATAAGAGTTAAACAGATATAGTAATGCCCTATTGGGTACAACTTTCCAAGATGATACTTAGTTATAACAAAAGTGAGTTTAAATTCAATACAAATAAAGTCATAGATTTGTACAAAATAAATACGACAATAACAAAAATAGAAGCTCTTGGCTCCAAGTCCTCCCAAGCTATTGCTTTGGCGGAGGCGTATCATCAACACCTAAAAGTAGTTTACAACAAAATAAATACAACAATAACAAAAATAGAAGCTCTTAGCTCCAAGTCCTCCCAAGCTATTGCCTTGGCAAAAAGCATATTATCAGCACCTAAAAATAGTTTTCCACATAGGATAAGCCAAAATCCAGTAAAGATACTTTAACATAATGTATGAATCTTAACAGAGTTATAAGGTGAATGCATATGCAATGCTCATTCCAAAAACATTTTATATTTCTTTCCAAAACTATGTAATGACAGGTTATGTCACAATTCATAAAATTACTTTCTTTACAATAGAAAACAAGACAGTGGATATAACACTAGGAATCTCTAGGATGTCTCTGCAAATAAGCTACAAGCACTACTAATTGTCATTTTTATCGATACTAACCGAAAGGCTTGGCACTTATCTGCACAGGTTTCTGAACTTTCACCAATGACACACAAACCAACATAATACCACAACTACATTCTTACTCAGATTCACCAAATCACCAATTTTTCTTCAAAACAATAACTATTTTCAATGTGTTAAATATATTACAATACTCAATGCAAATGGATAAGAAAATAGTTTCAATTCACCTAATTCTCATGCAATTTTTACAACAATTATAAATATCCTCCACCACTGATAGCTCAAAACAGATAAATAATTTTCAACAAAAATATACTTTCCAACATTTCAAGATAGGAGTGATAATTCATATCCAACTCAACTGCCATCACCATCATCGTTTCAATTTCATATAACGAACATTAATTCCATTTCTCCTTTACAAAACCAAATATTCACAATTTAGGGCAAAAAAATCCCATTTATTTAAAAATCAATCTCCGTGGGTAAAATCCACCATCTATCACAACCTAACCATTTTTATAGAGCCACAATCATATACAAGAATCCATTTTGAGAACCCCTCTTTTGATTTCAAAATTAAACTCTGAATTTTATCCAAAAATCCTCAAATCATTGTTTTGTTTAGAAAAGCAAATAATTAAATTAAAAATCATAAAAAGGGGTCAAAGTAATCCCTATCTCAAATAAGAAGACTCAAAGGAAAGATGGGTGGAACTCGACAAAGCCGAAAACATGAATTTCTCCAATTAGAATGAAGCTCTCGACGTACTCTCTTTTTTTATCAAAGAGACTAGGGTGTAGAAATTGATGGATCAATGTGTATTTGGGCCAAATGTTCAAGAACTAAAGAGAAAGAGAGAGAGAAGATCTAAGATTTAAAGAGAGAGAGAAGTGAAAAAAGTGATCTTTACAACCTGATATATGCGCAGACTGGTCGAGCGCAGGAATGGTCGCTCAAGCGACCAGATACAATAAGTGAGACCGCTCGAGCAAAGAACACCACCCTCCCAGTACTTTTGCAGGCCTGTAAAAGTACTGAGAGTTCCAAAAAATAGCTCGAGCGCAAGAATGACCACTCGAGCGCAAGAAATACCGCTTGAACGAAGAATGTCAAACTCTCCGTAGTTTTGTAGACCTACAAAAGTACTGGAAATTCTCAAAATTCGCTCGAGCGAACAAGTATAAATTTGGACAGTACAGATTTGAAAAGACTAACTATCAACATATTTCAAGCACAACCAAGACACTCCAATAATCAAACTCAATAAGAAATAAGATGAAAGAAGATATGAACAACTATCAGAGCAAGAAAACCAGAATACAAGACAATAAATGAGTCAAGTTTAAATCAGAGTCGCTATAATTGAGAAGTGTGGGTATAGGTTTGTTCTCATGTTTATCAATATAATAATAACATATCACATGATAAATTAAATATGATATATAAATATAATTATTGTAGCATTATTCTTTATGTTAATACTAAAAAATCTCCAACACCTCAATTAATTGTAGGGATCAACACAAGACCATCTACGTAATCGAGATGCATGTTCTCGCATACTTAGGCTACGAACAAAATATTTTTTAATAAATTTTTTATTGCATTTTAGTTTTAAAATATTTTTTTCTCAGCTAGTCTGAAAGTCCCTAAAAAATTTTAAACATAAAAATCACTTAAAAACTGCATTTTCAAATAAACTAGCATTTTTCAATTCTAGTTGAGTTATTCCAAATTTCATTTGTTTTTTAAAAAAAATTAGGAGCGAGTCTATTAGACTAAAAGCCCAAAAATAAAGTAAAAATGATTAATAAAAATTGAAAAATAATCTACTAAAACATTGAAAAAACCTAATTCCAAACAGCCATATAAACAATAGTTCCGTGAAAGTGAGGTTGGAAGCACAACCAAAAACCACTATTATAAAAATTGGTTAGTTAGTTAGTTAATTAATTAACAACTTCAAAGCCTGTGATATGCTTTTCTTTTGCGAAATATATATGTGTGTGTTTTTTTTTTAAATTCTTTTGGGTACACACTTTAAAAGGTATGTATCATATGTATCTTATTTCATATTTTTTTAAATACGTATTATGTATTTTTGTAATAAATGTTACCTAATATTCTAATAGAATTACGATAATTTATTATTCAGAAATAAAATTATGCATTCTGTAATAATGTTACATATATTTTTTGTGAAAAAAAATTTTAAACTACAAAATGCATAACATTTCTATAAAAATATTTAACTTTATTTTTGAACCATAAATTATCATAATTTTACCAAAAAACTATATATATTTACTATAAAAATACGTAATATATAGAAAATAAAATAAAATAAAATAAAGGTGCATACGGGTGTGTTCTTTTACCCTATATAATCTAAATTGTTCATGTATTTTACCAGATGTTACATATAGGCTAAAAATAAAAATATTTAAAAAATTAATATAATTATTTCAAAATTATAAAATTTATTATATTCTCTTAAAATAAAAAATTTGCATTATTTATTTATATAAGGAAAATACGTTGTTACCGTATCCGTATGTAAGTGATTGTATTCACATACTTCATTAGTGGACAATATGATCACAACTTGCTTCGAATGGCTAAAAAACAAACTTGCTTCTAATGGTCACACACATGTATAACTTGCCCCCTTTTTTTTTTCTTTTTTTTTTTTATCTTTTATCTTTTTTTGTTTTTTGATTTGATGTATAATTTGTCTTTAAAAATAGACAGAAAATGATGCATTTTATCCTATATTTATTTCGATCCAATTGTTATTTATGATTTTTTTTAATATAGTATTAATAAATTTTGTAATTAAAATTTTAAATTTTTTATAAATTAATAATTATTTTCCCCACTGATTTATAATTTTTTCTTTTTTTCCCTTGTATATGTTATCTTAAAAGAAAAATTTATTAAGTGTATGTTTTAGTTATGATGTTTGTGATATTTGATTATAACTTAAATATACATATTATGGTGTTAGTTATGATTCATTGTAATATTAGATATGACATTTTTTTGTAATGACTCAAAAAAAATTTTTGTTATACTTTATGTGATGTTTGATTATGACTAATTTTTTTAATTATAATTAAAAATGATTCAAAACATGACAATGCATTAACTAAATTATTTTAATTATAAAATTTCATAAGAATGTTTTTAATGATTATTTAAACAATATATATTAAAGGTTGGACAAATTACATATACCCCTTGAGGTTTGGCTAAATTACAAATACCCTCTAAGGTTTGAGAAATTAGAAATTCCTCCCTGAATGCCATATTTGCATAACAAATTAGGAGGTAATTTGTTATGAAATATAAGCCTCAAGGGGTAAATTGTTATGAAAATACAAATCTCATGGGGCAGGATGTAATTTCCGAAACCTCAGGGGTATTTGATTTTAGTCAAATCTCGAGGGAGGTATATGTAATTTGCCCTTAAAGTTTTAATGTACTTATTTCCAAATTTTGGAGAAAAATAAATTAAATAAGTTAAATATTAATGGGTTCTTAGGGCAAATGTCAATTTTTGAAATTTTTGGGCCAATTCTAAATTTAAATTTTTGTTGGGAAAAAAGATATTATTTGTCCAAAAAAATTGTATATGTTCAAATGTCACATATCTATTGAGATGTCATCTATTTGTCCAATTCTTTATTTAAATGTGTATGCATATATGTCCCACTATCTATTTAAATATTCAATTATATGTTCAAATATACACGTGTCAATTTTTAACACGTGTCCTTATCACAAAAAAAAATTAAATCTTAAACTAAATAACATGTGATCTGATAAGAATAAATTTTTCGCTAATTAATCCAAAACTAATTATTAATAAAGTAGAAATAGAATAATTATAAAAAAAATTTAATCTATAAGAATATATGGGTAAAAAAAATTTAATCTATAAGAATATATGGGAATTATTACATGTGTGCTTTATTGGGATTCATACATAAATTATTTGTATTTTAGATTTCGACTTTGGACATAAGTGCCAGAATCACCGCTTCGTTAATAATCGGGAATCGGGAGTCCTTCTTTACTAATTTTAATTTATACTCCGAGGGCCCATTTCTATCTTAATTATCATTTTCGCCCCTCATAATTTTCATATTTCCGAAAACGGAGCTTCTTTCTCCACTCACAGAAACAGTGTATCAGTGTGTGTATATATATATATACATACATGCTTGTGTATGTATATATATAGATATATAACCATCACAAATATTTTGATAAATCTCTTTTTTTGTACTGTATAGTGAAGAGTGAAATCAAAAAAGTTTTTGTTTTCTCTCTCTAGTTTCTCTCTCTAAAAAGCTTTCTACTTGGCATTTTTCAAAAACTATGCCGTGATCACACTGTTGCTGGGTTAAAAACCCTAATTGAGTCCCCAATTAGGGTTTTTGAAAGCCAAAAGCAGCACATTTATGTCCATGGCAGTGGCCATTGAAGACTAGATTAGCATTTTCACAAATTTGTTTCTATTTTTGATGTAATATATACTATGAGATTGTTGGTGTTGAGAGTGAGTTGTGAGTGTTTGTGCAATGGGTGTGGCAAAAGCTTGGAGGCTTAGCGGTGGTATGTTGAGTAATTTGGCAGTGGTGAATCAGCAGAAGAAGCAGCATTTCTGGTGGAGATTGAGGGTGTCTTGGTCAGTGGTGTGTGGGTTTATGCTATTTGGGTTGGGTTTGATTTCTCTCTTCACTGGGCACGTGGCTTCTGATCTGGAGTGGTATTCGCATAGGCTGGTGAAGAGGAAATTGTACTATAAACTGGTAATGTATTCTCTCTCTCTCTCTCTCTCTCTGATGCATTTGATACCAATTTGAGCTGAGTTTTGAGGAATTGGAACCCAAATGTTGTATGAAATTCTGCTGTTTATTTGTTCTTGTTTTGGTTTGCCATGAATTGAATTTAAAATGTTTGATGAAATTATATTCTCTCTCATAGCTTCATAGAAATGGTGCATCAACAGTCTTTTATTTATTATAATTTTTAAACTTAAGTCAAAGGGTCCAAGTATGGTGTGAAATTCTTTTGTTTGTAGCTGTCTGTCTCACAGTGTCTATCTAATTCCTTTCATAGTAGAATTTTGATATAGTTCATGAATTCCGGGAACAATTCTATCTCTTTGTCTCTCAATTCATTTCTCTGAGTAGAATTTAAATGTTACTATACTCTTTCTCTCTTTCTGAATATAGGGCAAACATATTGGGTCAATTTTGTTTTTTATTTTTAAATTTTTTTTATGCAGTCCCTCTTCCGAGATTGAATTGTTGAGATCATCTGAAATTCTAGGGTCGGTGAAATGTTGTTGTTTTGGGCTTATAGTGATTCTACTGGATGCAAATATGTAAATTGAATGGAAGATGTTTATGGGTTGTTCTCAAAACTGCTGAAACATCTCTCTCGCTTGCCTTGAGAGTAAGGAAACAGAGAGGAAAAGGATGTTTGAGGTGCTAAAATGAGGATCAAAAGAACTTGAATTTTTCAGTTTGATAAGTCTTTCAGCTTTGTTTTGTTGGCAAGAAAAATGATGAAAGAAATGGAAAATAAAAATTTGGAATAACATTATGTTTTGTTGCATGCCAAATAATGAAAGCTCACCTCCCTCAGATGAGTGAGCTAAAATTTAAGAAACAATTCACCATTAAAAAATAAAAAAATAAAAAAATATTTAAGAAACAAAATATTCTAAGATATTTTGGGTTTATTTGGTGTCAATTTGTTTTTGTGTGTCCATTTTTGTTGTGTTTGGAAATTGAAAACATGGAAGTCAGAAAGCATCCTTCATTTTTTATGTTGTTTTCATTTCTGTTTTGGAAAAATACTTTTCGAAAATACAGAAAAGAACTTAAAGATGTTTCGTAAAAAAATGGAGTGCTTAACGCACCCCCCACCCCCCAAAAAAAAACAATTTTAGAGAACAGAAAGCAGTTTCGAGAAGGATACCAAACCCACCATTCATTCATTCTTTCCTTTTGTTTTACTCTATTTCTGTTGTCATTTTTCTTTCGTGGAATGTTCTTTATGTGGACATGTTGATTTGCTTTCCTGTGGTGGAACTTTCCTTTGGTTGGCATTTCATGTACCTTTTGCTCTTACTACTGAAGATTTCAAAAAAAAGTTGTTCTTAGTTTTTTTATTTTTCCTAATTTCCCTTAACAAGGTTGCGATTATTCCTTTCTGCACACTTCGAATGCACAATTTGTACTGTATTTGGGTAGTTAAAGTGAAACAACATGTTAATCATGGAAATCACAACTTTGGGATATATGAGTATTTTGTAATTTTTTTTTATAATGTGTGAAAAAAGCATTCTTAATTTTTATACAATTGATAAAAAAAACAAAACATTAAAAATAAAATAAAAATCGTAATTGGGACATAAGGCTTAGTTTAATTTGGTTTGGTGACAAAGAACAAAATTGAATATAAAGTATGACATGCTAAGAAAGTATAATGTGCAACACTTGTCCTTTTACTGGGCTTGGCACCATTTGAGTAAAGGATTAGACTCTAATCCTTTTGCAAGCTTTAGTATTTTTTACCTCTTATACAAATTTGAGCAATCTAATGATCTCTTGGAATAATTTACTCTATTTTTTGGAGGCCAAGAAAATCTCATTGCTTTCGTTTCATCATGTTAATGTTTGGTGTGGACTTGTGCTTTGGTATACTTTTGTTGCCAGTGTATTAAAATACTAATGATTCTGGAGAGATATTTGGCTTGTATATGACAAACTATTGATGGATGTGTAGTTTGTTATTTCTTTCCCTGCAAGATTGCTGATTTCACATTTAATGATCTCTTTTCAACAAATCAATTATATGGTATGTTGATTGCTGAAAATGACTTTTTAGTTTGCAAAATTTGTGTAAATTATAAATCTGCTGCTCTTAATTGTTTAGTATGCTTGGCCACATGCAGTCCCAAAGTATGCACTTCTTGTAAAACTAGGAGGGTAGATAATGAAATTGTGTTATGAAAGAAATGTATGAATTGTTCCCATATGATGATATTTTGGCGGTGGATTCATTTTGTTCTTTTAGTTGTGTTGTCCTCAATTTGCAGATTTATCTCTCAGACCCAATTGAGCATGAATTATTCAGCATGGCTAATTATATGACCTTTTTTTTTTGTGGGTCCATTTAGTAATGTTCTTTGTGTATCATGTTGCTCTGTGTATTATTTATATCCTTGTGTGTTTAACGGTTGAGATTTAGAGTTCAGTTCTGCTTTGTCTCATGAGTGTCATGCTAATGAAAATATAATTGATCCTTTGTAGGCTGGGGGCAGTCGTGCACCAATTGATATTTGGAAATCAAAATTTTCAAAATTTTACTATGAATGCAATGAAAGAGGGCCTCATTTTGCTCGTAAGTCAGCTTGTCAATATATCTGCATAGAATTCGCATGACTTTTACAAATACTACTAACAGCTTTCTAATTAACTATTTATAATTTTATATTGTGATCACTTGTGCATTCCTTTCTACTATTATGTTGTTGTGGTTTGGCACCTACAGAGAAGGTAACTTGACCACTGATATATATTCTATGCTTGCTTAACAAGGCACTCAAACATTTATTCCATTTTAACTTTCCAAATATGCTGGAACTCTTCTATTTTACATTTTTACTTTGACAAAAAGTATGTCACTTTAACTGTGTCTTTGAGTCTCAAACGATTTATTGATGTGTTTTCCTTTTCACGAATTATCGATTACTGTCACTAATGCAGTTTTAGGTTTCTTGGAATAATATCTGGTGGATGCAATTTATCTTTACTAGGAGCGCTATTTTATTTTATTTTTTAAAATATTTTTGCACTGCAATGTTTGTTGTTCCTTCAGATTTCTAAAGCTACCTACATCTTTATTCTTGGGTGGTTTTCCACTTCTATTTTTTGCGGGTTACCAAAAAATATATTGTCCTAATGTTGCTAATTATGTAACATAGCTGTGATACGTGAGCAATTTTCAAATGGCTATTTACTTATTGCAACAAGTGGAGGGCTGAACCAACAAAGAACAGGAGTAAGTAAAAATATTCCTTCCCCTCTGCTACATCTCATTTTAGCATCTTTGTAGTGGGGGATATCCATTGAGATTTTAAAATACTTACTTTTCATTTGCTTCTCTAATTAATAAACTAAAATTTGCAATCCATTTCCTGCCCTCAGATTACTGATGCTGTAGTTGTTGCACGGATTCTCAATGCCACTTTAGTTGTTCCTCAATTGGATCATCATTCATTCTGGAAGGACGATAGGTGAGTTGAGATTTGAACTTGCTTGCACCTGCATATAACCCACTGAGAAAATAAAACAAAAATATGAGAGATGATTTTGTTGATGGTAAGAATAACTCTAGTTGAATTTACCATTATGCTTTCATTGAAGATACCTTATTTGACATGCAGTGACTTTCCCAACATTTTCGATGTTAATTGGTTCATCTCAACCCTTACAAAGGATGTAACCATTGTTAAAAGAGTCCCAGATAAAGTCATGAGATCCATGGAAAAGCCACCATATTCTATGCGCGTCCCAAGGAAATCAGAACCTGAATATTATCTAGATCAAGTACTGCCAATACTCCTCAGGAGGCGTGTAAGAGGCTATACAACTCTCAACTGTAGTTACTATTTCCATATTCAATTAATCAATTACAAGTAATTCCTTCTTTTGTTTTTGGTGTGTGTGTGGAGAGAAAAGGTAAATATATGCCATTTGGCATAAATATATGAGTGTGTACTAATTAGTTTATTGAGCTTTACACTTGACTGCTTAACTTATTTCTTTCGTTTATGTTAGTTATTTCTCTTTCACTTGCCTATGAAGCAATGGCAATCTATAATTTTTTTAAAAGAATGATATTGCCTTTGATTCAATAGAACTGTCGATACAGTGTCTGTTCCCTATCTTTAGTCACTTGAGATCCCTGATTTAATTGATTGTCATGCTGAAATGTACTTTTTTGTCATTTTCACTCTGATTGGTTACAGTTACCAAAATATTTTTCAGGTTGTGCAGTTGACAAAATTTGATTACAGACTTGCTAATAACCTCGATGAAGAGCTGCAGAAGTTGCGTTGCCGGGTCAATTATCATGCTTTAAGGTTTACAAAACCTATTAGGGATCTTGGTCAAAAGCTTGTGTCAAGAATGCGGAAGATGACGAATCGTTTCATCGCAATTCACTTGAGGTTTGTCATTTTAGTTGTAATAAGAAAAAATAGTCGGATATTTGCTTCACATTCACCTCATTTGCTTCACATTCACCTCATTAGTGTCCAAATTTATATTGCTCATAGTACACAGAAACCTCAAAATTTGGTTAAAATCGTTACAAACACAGGTTTTATAAAGTAGGCTGTTGAAGCAATGTAGTACACTGAGTCATGATTTATTTATTAATTTTCTGTTATGAAAATGATGATCAAGTGCAATTCAGAGATAGATTTGCAGTTTGTAAGAAGCAACCATAGAGATGAAGCAACCATTAAAAGGGGAGCTGGTGTTACGCAAGAAAACTCTGATACTCTAGGAATTTACATTTCGGAACATGCATTCCAAAATATGGTTACAGGAACCATGGATGGCTCTTCTTCGCCCCAAAGTTCGTTATGATTAATTCCGTTGTATGGAAGGAATGAATTAAGTATAAGTGAATTAAAATTTAGAGTGGAGTTTCGGCGAGAGAAATCTAAAAAAAAAAATAATGCACCATAATGTTCCTAAAACATGTTATTACATGATTCATTTGGGGAATAACAGGCAATTTTGTTGGATATCTTGTTGTTAACAAGAAAATTGCTCTCATGTTTAGAAGAAGCCTAAATTCTAATAGTATGATTTATAAATACCCTCATTATAACCACATTTTAGAGCATGTGGCTGTAAGCTTTCTGTATTTCTACATATTCAATTGTATATTTGATTACAACCAGACCTTAGATTATATAGCCCTAACTCCTAAACCAAAAAGAAAAATACAATCATGCCTCTAATGGGACTCTAATACAATCACTCCTCTAATAGGACTCTAATATGTACAACCATAATCATGCCTCATTTGTAAGATTCACAATTCACAACATATTCTCACACCTCCGCTCAAACTCAAGGTGTTTTAACAGAAAACACTGAGAGTTTGCTAAGAAAAAATCGAAACCGAGCGATAGTGTGAGTTTTGGTAAAGAAGTCCGCAAGTTGCAAAGTCGAAGAGATGAAAGGAAGCGAGATAGAGGCCGACTACAGATGCTGGCGAACAAAGTGACAATCAATCTCAATGTGTTTCGTCCGCTCATGGAAGACAGTATTGTGGGCAATTTGAACAACACTGCGGTTGTCACAATAGAGAGAGGTCGAAGAAGACTGAGAGACACCCAAATCAGACAAGAGACAACGAAGCCAAACAATTTCAGCAATGGCATGAGCCATAGTACGATACTCAGCTTCAGCAGTAGAACGAGTAACGACTGATTGTTTCTTGCTTTTCCAAGAGATCAAGGAATCACCAAGAAACAGACAGAAACCAAACGTAGACTTGCGATCAGTAACATCACCAGCTTAATTAGAGTCAGCATAGGCCACCAAGTCGAAAGAGGAAGTAGAGGACAACAGTAAGCCCTGAAAGATGGTACCCCTGAGATGGCGAAGAATGCGAACCAAAGTAGCCCAATGGGTAGAGTGAGGAGCAGAAACGAACTAACTACCTACATGAACAGCATAAGCAAAATCAGGGCAAGTGACAGTTAGATAAACTAAACAACCCACAAGCTCGCAATATAAACTAGGATCATCTAGAGGGACACTATCAGTAGAGTTACACTTCACATTAAGCTCAATAGGTGTATCAGAAACCTTAGTATCAGGAAGACCAGCATGGTGAATGACTTCATTAGCATACTTAGCCCGAGACGGAAAATAGCCCTTTGGAGAAGAAGCAACCTCAATACCAAGAAAATACCATAATGGACCCAGATCTTTCATTTCGAAGGTGCGGAAGAGATGCTGCTTGACTTCAGAGATAGCAGAAGAGTCAGAGCCGGTGATGATCATATCATCCACATAGAGTAAGAGAGCAACAAAACTAGCCGATGTATGTCTTAGAAATAAAGTAGAGTCGGAAGCAAAATGATGAAACCCAAGCTTGGTAACAACAGTCTGAAAGCGATCATACCAAGCACGAGGAGACTGCTTCAGACCATACAGAGCACGCTGAAGACGACAAACCTGGCCAGAGGAATGGTGAAGGCTAGGGGGAGGACGCATGTAAACCTCCTCAATGAGATGGCCATTAAAAAAAGCATTCTTAACATCTATCTGATAAAAAGGTCAAGACCGAATAGCAGCGACAGAGATCAAAATATGAACAGTAGTCATCTGGGCAACAGGAGCAAATGTCTCCTCATAATCAATACCATTCTCCTGAAAGAAACCTTTGGCAACCAGACGAGCTTTGTAGCGCTCAAGAAACCCATCAAAATAAGTCTTGACTTTGTAGACCCATTTGCAACCAACTAAGTTCTTATCAGCAGGCAAAGAAACCAACTCCCAAGTACTAGTTTTCTGTAAAGCAAACAACTCATCCTCCATAGCTTGAACCCAATGAGGATCCTGACATGCCTCATTGTAAGACTAAGGTTCTGAAAAAAAGTGAATAGCAGACAAAAAAGTACAATAAGAAGTAGAAAAACACATATTAGAACAACCTAACCTGTTTGGAGGATAACGCGCTCGAGTAGGATATCGGTGTTCAACAGGATCGATGTCGTCAAAAGCAGGAGGAGGAGCAGCAGCAGGGGTAGAGACAACCGGTGGACAAGGAGCCTTGCGACGAGAATAAACTAATAACGGAGGAGGAGAAGAAGCCGAAGGAGGAGAAGCAACTAGAAATGAAGTAGGAGGAGAAGATGGAACAAGCTCAGGAGGAATAGTGGAGATGTATTCATCAGACGAGACCTCAGAAGGAAATGGGTCAATGTGAACCAAATTCTCTTTGGAAACTACAGCAGTGAGAGGGGGAAGCTGAAAGTAAGACAGACGTTCGAGAAAGGCAACATGACGGAAGACATAAAGGCGACGAGAGACAGGATTGTAACAGCGGTAGCCTTTCTGAGTAAGACTGTAACCCGAAAAGACACACAAGACAGACCGGGCACTGAGTTTGGTTCTATCTTTACGAGGAAAGAGGACAAAACAAGCAGACCCAAAGATACGCAAGAGTGAATAATTGGGAGGTTGGGAATACAGAGCCTCATAAGGGGATCTACCGAATAGTAAGAGAGTCGGTATGTGATTAAGGAGGAAAGCAGCGGTAAGAACTGCCTCACCCCAGAATGGTGCTGGAACAGAGGCAGGGAGAAGAAGAGATAGAGCTGTCTCAAGGAGATGATAGTGTTTACGCTCAGCACGACCATTTTGGGCAGGTGTATCAGAATAGGAGGTTTGGTGAATGGTGCCCAATTTAGCCAAATACTCACAGAATTCAGTTTTATAGTATTTCCCATCCAAGTTAGACCAGAGTATTTTAATTGTGGCCCCAAACTGTATAGTGATAATAGACTGAAAGGTACGATATATCTGGTAGAAGTCAGATTTATGAGCCATAAGATAAACCAGGTCTAGCAGGTACAATCATCAACAAAGGATACATAATACGTAGAACCCCTTTTTGTGAGAACAGGAGAAGGTCGCTAGACATCAGTATGTACAAGAGAAAAAAGGGAAGCAGAAATAGAAGTACTGTTGTTAAAGCATAAAGCTATCATTTTAGCAAGTTTACACCCTCAACACTCATTAATTTGACTAGGAAAAATTTTACCTAACAATCCTGACTGAGCTAAAGACCGCAAGTGGTCAACAGACAAATGACCTAAGCGAGAATGCCATATAAAACTGACTCGACTGAGAATCTAGCTGAAAAGATGAAAGTGCAACGGGGGAGGTAGACTGAGGAAGTTGTAAGCTTTCCACCACATAGAGATCTCTAACTCTACGGCCGGTCCCAATCTACTTCGTGGATACCCAATCTTGCACACAATAGACAGAAGAAGAAAAGATAATATCAAAACCAAAAGCATTAAGTTGACTGATAGAAAGCAAGCTAACAGACAGTTGAGGAACATAAAGAACAGAGGGAATAGTAACAATAGACATAGTAGAGGGTAAAACAGACCCAATAGATAGGACAGACATACCAAACCTATTAATAGTATTAATAGTAATAGGAAAGGAAAGGGGTATACAGTTTTGGAGTAAGGAAAGGTGAGGAGTCATATGATGAGAGGTACCAGAATCAAAAAGCCAGACAGAGGAAGGAATACTTGAAGGGGACCCTAGCAAACCTAAATGAGGAAAGGTGAAAGCAGAGACAGATGAAGATGACTGAGAGGTGGATCAGAGATGCTGAAGCTGAGCAATTTGAGCACTCAAGGAAGCCAAATCAGGATCAGAAGTCGAGGCAGAGGCAGTATAAGCAGCATGAGGGCGAAAGTACTCGAAGCAGGACCTCGGGACTGTGGCTGAGGTGGCTGAGAAGACTGAGTAGACTGACGGCCCTTCTTGGGACAGTTGTACTTCCAATGGCCCTTTTGATGGCAAAAAGCACACTCATCAGAGGCTAGTGGCCCCTTCTTGGGCTTTGTATTGGCCTGAAGTTGATGAGGTAGGTGGCTTGGTAGCAGAGGAGACGGAGTAGGAGCCAAGAAGACAGATGGAGATAGAGTCTGACTGGCCGTCTTAAGACAGGTTTCTTCAGAGAGGAGCTCACGAACAATAGTATCCATAGAGGAGAGAGGAGACCGATGAAGGATGCACCACGGATAGCCTCATATTGAGGGGAGAGTGCCGTTAAGAATTGCACTAAACGACCTTGCTCCCAAAACTCAACATAAGTGTTAAGTGTCTTGAGGCTAGATGGTTCCATGAGAGCCAGCTGATCCCAGAGGCCTGTCATCTCAATGTAGGAGTCTTGAATAGACAGATCCCGCTGACGAGCTCCCTGAATAGCTGTTTCCAACTCATACCGTTTGGCAAAGTTGGACTGTTGATAAATACTCTGTAAGTAATCCCACACCTCTTTGGCAGTGCTATATTTAGAGAACATTATCTTGATACGGTCATCCACAGAGTTATGGAACCAGGTCAAAACTTGAGTATTATCACAATCCCAAGTGTCACAGGAACTCAGATAGTCTTCTTGTTTGGGATCCGATGGACGAGGAACAGAACCAGAAACATATCCCCATGTTTTTCGACCAAGAAGAAAATTTCTCATAACACTAGACCAATAAGCATAGTTGTCACTTGTAAGCTTGCATTTAATAGTTTGGATTTTGTCTTCCGACATTGTAATGAACCAGAAATAAAAGAAAAAAGAACTGATGGGGCATAGTGATAAAATCCAATAAAGTTGAGGGGTCAACTTGTAATAATCCAAAGTTGAAACAGAGAGGTCAAGGTGGACTGAAATCAGAACAGAGAACAAAACCGAAGATAGAGAGAGCAAAACCGAGAGCAAAGACCAAAGAGAGAGAGAACCAACGCAGAGGTCGCGAGAGAGTGAGAGAGATCCCTCAAGCCCAGACTAGACTTGCGACTTCAGACCCAGCAAGAGAAGGCAATCGTGAGTTTGGCGAAGACAGAGAGGGCTGTCGCGACTTCAGAGAAGATTGTCACGACCCAGCAAGACCTTCAGGGCTTCGGAGAGGGCTGTTGCGACTATAACGACCCAGAGAGGGCTGGCTTCGATCGACCCAGAAAGACCCTGCAAGCAGGAACGAAGAACTTCAAATGATCAAGGCCAGACCTAAGGTTTCAGACGTGGCTTTGATACCATGTAAGCTTTCTGTATTTCTGTATATTCAATTGTATATTGATTACAACCAGACCTTAGATTATATAGCCCTAACTCCTAAACCAAAAAGAAAAATACAATCATGCCTCTAATAGGACTCTAATACAATCACTCCTCTAATAGGACTCTAATATGTACAACCACAATAATGCCTAATTTGTAAGATTCACAATTCATAATATATTCTCACAGTGGCATACTATGTTTCCATTCTCCCTTCTCATGCTAGAACGATATGCATTTCAAGTAGTATATCTTCAGGTATGCAAACATATAAGAAGGTTTTATGTGGAATGATAGGACCTTTATCTGATGTTGGACATGGCAGTACTAGAACATTCAGAAAAGAGTCTCTTCTGGTTTACAAGCACTAGGAAATTTGTAATCTACTGTGATTATTCTTCCATAGTACAAAAGTAAACTGCTCATTTTTTTCCCCCATGAGTATAGACTGTCCTGTTGACAATGTAAGTTTGTTACAAGGAATACACTCCTGCAGCAAAATGGATGCCTTGTTAATGAAAAATTTACTACCATGCCTTTTGGAAACTTATCTTTGTTCTTTAGTTTTTGTATTCTGGATGGTTATAGCATTTGACAAACAGCTGCAATATATTAGATCAGGCTTCCAAATTTGAAGTAGTGCATATAGTAGATAACGACAATTTCTAGTTTGACTTGTTTGGAGATAGCCAGTAGCAATATCCCTTTTATATATTGGAGGAGTATTTCCTTTCCATCTGTAAATGCATGTGCACTACTTCAGTGTTATCTTATCCAAATAAAGCTCTTTGAATTTCCATAATCTTTTTTCCTGGCCATTTTTTTTCGTGTGTCTGTTCTGAAACTATTTCTGTGACAGGTTTGAACCTGATATGCTAGCATTTTCTGGATGTTACTATGGTGGGGGTGATAAAGAGAGATACGAGCTTGGTGAAATAAGGAAACGATGGACAACATTACCTGTGAGATTGCTATCTTTGCTGAGTTTTAATCTCTGTTTCTTCTTATTCATCTCAATGAAACCATTTGAATTACAGACAAATGTAATGTTTCTTCTCTCATGCACCTCAATTTAGCCTGCCATTTGTTAGTTTTACCAAAATGGTGGAACTACTTCACTTTGTCAGATGCTAAAAGATCTGTAGCATTTAACTTATCTAGAGGAATAAAGTCTGGAATAATTTTTGTTCCATATTCTGTTATTCATGGAGACCTTTTTTTCCCCCCTCCTGTACAGGATTTAAGCCCTGATGGAGAGAGAAAGCGTGGGAAGTGCCCATTTACTCCTCATGAAGTAGGTCTGATGCTCCGGGCTCTGGGTTTTAGTAATGACACGTACCTTTATGTTGCATCTGGTGAAATATATGGTGGAGAAGAGACTCTACGGCCTCTCCGAGAGCTCTTTCCAAACTTCTACACAAAGGAGATGCTTGCCGGTGAAGAACTAAAACCTTTTCTTCCGTTCTCTTCTCGTCTAGCTGCAATCGACTACATGGTGTGTGATGAGAGTGACGTCTTTGTCACTAATAACAATGGAAACATGGCCAAGATTCTAGCAGGTCGAAGGTAAAAACTCAAATCTGCTTATTTTCTGGCACTGTTTTATCAGGTTGAAATTTGAAAGAACATTTTCTGTTGTTGAGATGTGATTCTGTTGCAATTATTTGGTGACTATAATCGAATTCTGGAATGTTCTGCTTCAACAATCTAACAAACAGTGGATAAGACAAAGAAGATACATGCAATGAGCAATTGAGCATAGACATTACAAAAGAACCCAACATTTATGTAGTGGAACAGAGATAGCATGAACTACTATTGTTGTGTGAAACGTTTAGAGAATAATTTCAACCCTTATCGAACTTGAACTAGAAAATTACTAAGGAAAGGACTATATTCTTCGCTATTGTAGAATGATGAAGAATAAGTCACAAGCTCAGCATTTCAAGAGTGATTTTTTCAATTAGGATTCGATTTAAATAACTTCCAAGTCTTGAGAATGCTGCTTACTCAAAAGGTATACAGGTGATGCTGCAGAAAAGATGTTTACCAAACCAAACCAAGCCGTAAGTCCCATCAAATGGAGTCAACTGCATGAATCCTTCTTCTCCACTCGACTCTATCCAAAGTCATTTTGTTAGTCAAATTAAGGAGATCCATATCTCTATTTACTACACTAGTCCACGTCATCTAAGTCTACCCCTTCCCCTAACACTACCATCTGCTGTCATTATACTATTGCTTCTGTTGGTCTCCGTTGTATATGATCAAACCATCTTAATCTATTCTCTCTCAACTTATCTTCTATTGGTACTACTCCTACCCATTCTCGAATATACTCATTCCTAACTCTGTCTTTTCTAGTCTTGCCATCCATCCACCTTAGCACCCTTATCTTAGCAACACTCATCTTCTCTATATGTTGTTTCCAAATTGCCTAACATTCCGTCCTATACAACATTTCTAGTCTAATAACTGTTATATAGAACATCCCTTTTAGTCTAATGGGTACTTGTTTATCGCACAGTATTCTAGACGCACTCCTTAACTTAAGCTACCCCACCTTAATTTTGTGGACTACATCCGCTCCAATCTCCCCAGTCGTTGTGATAATCGATCCTAAATAACGAAAATGGTCACTCTTATATAGTTCTTGGTTCTCACTCTTCACTTTGCTTCCATTGTGATTGTTACTAAAATTATACTCGATATACTCTGTCTTAGTTCTGCTTATCCTAAATCATTTAGATTCAAGTATTTTTCTCCAAATCTCTAACTTAGTGTTAACTCCTTCTCTAGTCTCATACTAACACGATATTATCTACAAAAAGCATACACCATGGCACATCATCTTAAATATTGAGCATCAACTCATCCATAACTAAAGCAAAAAGATAAGGACTTAAGGTTGATCCTTGGTGTAACCCTACAGAAATTGAAAATTCTCTCGTCTTTCCAGCAGGCGATCTAATAGTGGTCACCACAACTTCATACACATCCCTAATCACATCAATGTAACATTTTGTCACCCCTTTATTCTCTAACACCCACCTGATTATATCCCGAGGCACTTTATCATATGCTTTCTCAAGATCGATAAAAACCATATGAATGTCTCTTTCTTTTCTCTATACTTTTCTATTACTCTCCTCAAAAGATAGATTGCTTCCATTGTTGACCTACCAAGCATAAATCTAAATTGATTCTCTAACACCTCTATTATATCTTGACGTCCCATTACTATCTCCCACACTTTCATTGTGTGACACATTAACTTGATTTCTCTATAATTGTTACAATTTTGGACATTTCCTTTATTCTTATATATTGACACTAAAATACTCTTCCTCCACTCCTCTGGCGTTTTCCTAGTCAACCAAACAACATCCTTCTTACCCAAACATTTCCACGCTTCAATAGGTATATCATCGGATCCTAAAGTCTTATTCAATTTTATCTTCTTAAGTGAAACTCCACTTCAAAGTCCATAATCCTACGATATGATAGAACTTATAGTCCTGATTTTCCTTATTATTGCCTACTTCATCCCCTTTTGACCTATCTCTATGTTCCTCATTTAACAACTTCTCAAAATAGTTTTTCCACCTCTCCTTAATCTCTTCATCATTTACCAACACCTTAAGAGTCTTCACTTTTGATGCACTTAACCTAATTAAAATCTCTTGTTTTTCTCTCTCTTATCTTAGCAAGTTTATATATGCTCTTCTCTCCTGCCTTCCTATCTAGTTTAGTGTATAGGTCATCATAGGCTTTCAACTTAGTCTCCCTCACTACTTTTTTGACCTTCTTATTGGCTAATTTGTAGCGCTTAAGGTTTTTTTCAGTTCTATCATTCTGCTACTTTTTAAAGCTCTCTTTTTTTGTCTTTATTACCCGCTTGGACCTCCACCCTCCACCACCAATTTTCCCTAAAGTTTGTTCTCTTTCCTTTCGACTCTCCAAGAACTTCCCTTAAGATTCTCCTCATACAATTGGCCATCAAGTTCCACATAGTGTTAGTATCATCTTCCAAATCCCAAATACTTTCTTTATCCATTCTATTCTTAAATGTGTCTAATTTATCCTCTTTTAGGTCCCACCATCTGCTTCTATGATGCCCACTATCTTTCTAAGTTTGGTATTGCCTTTTAAAGCATAAATCTAGTACCAAAATCTCATGTTGAGACGTCAAGCTCTCTCCAGGGATCAACTTACAGTCGCTGCATTTTAGACGACCCCTCTTCTTACTAGAAAGTAATCTATTTGGCTTCTATTTGACCCATTCTTGAAAGTTATCAAATGCTTCTCTCTCTTCTTATTCATAGTATTGACCACCACTAGGTTAGAAGTCAACGCAAAATCTAAAATACTCTCTCTAGCCTCATTTTTATCACCCTCATACCCACCATGCACCCTCTCATACCCTAGTTTATCTACTCTTACATGGCCATTGAAATCACCACCTATAATTAGGTTCTCTCCTACGGGTATCTCCTGTAATACCTTATTCATTTGGTCCCAAAAAACTCTCCTAGTCTGATCGTCTGATCATCTAATTCTACTTGGGGGGCATATGCACTAATAATGTTCATTATATTCTCTCCAATAACTAGTTTAACTAACGTAATCCTATCACATTTCCTAATGACCGCAACTACATTTTCTGCTAGACTCTTCTCTTGGCAACTATTGTTCCTACCACATTTCTGTTTCTATCCTTACCACTATAATATAGTTTAAAACCGATTTTCTCTATTTCCTGAACTTTCTCACATGTCTACTTAGTTTCTTATACGCAAGCTATACTAACTCTTCTCCTAATCATGACATCTACCAATTCCATAGTCTTACCAGTTAAAGTCTTTATATTCCATGTGGCTACCTTAAACCTATAATCTTGGACTAGTTTCTTCATCCTCACTTGTCCAGAAAAATGCAGAAACCTTTGCCCATTTTTCATCGCACCCAGGCGTCGATGCGGCGCCCCTTACTCACTTTTCGAAACACCCGGAAGCAGGCACAATGTGTCACATAAGGGGAATGACCTAGTATTTAATCGATTCAGAGTATTAGGCCTCATGTCATAAAGGATCCAAGCGGCATTTTACGTGTTAGCTGTCGGCTACCTAACACACAACTCTCCTTCTTTACGTTGGCTTGGGACCGGCGGAGTTGCACCAAAGTTGTTTATGCACATTTTTATCTTAATTGTGTCCACGAGTAAATTTGGTTAAGACATTCAAAATGTTATGGAGCTATGAAGCATAGACATGGATACAACACAAACACGGACATATCGACACGGATTAATTATTTTGATGTATTACAAGATTGATTAATTACAATTCCTATACAATCTATATATAAAAGAAAATGTGGTAGTAGGTGTAGTGGAGGTGATAGTGGGTTAGGTGAAGTAGAGTGTGTGGTGAAGTGGAGGTAGGTGAAGTGGAGTGTGTAGTGGAGTAGGTGAAGGTAAAGATGGGAAATTCTAACACAACACAAACACGGACATATCGACACGGAAAATTCTAAAAAAGTAGGACACGGACATGGCTCCGGCTCAAGACATGCCACAAATAATTTTCTGTTGATATAATATTATCTAAGAATACATTATATTATATAATTTTATATGTGCGTAATATATACAAAATTAAATAATTACTTTATACTAAGCAAATCTTGTATCTAATTCTCTTACATGAATTTTTAGATTATTGGATTTGACCATTATAGTTTAAAATTAGACGAACTATAGGAAACATACATAATTGCAATATTTCCCTCATCCTCCTAATCTATCTATTTATACATTTTTTTTAAAAAGGATTATACATTTTGTTATTTTTAAGAATTATACATTGTTTTAAAAATAAGATATGGGTAAATTACACTTACACCCCCTTAGATTTGAGTTAATACATATCACCTTTTGACGTTTGAGAAATTACACTGACCCCTCTGTCATTGTAATTATTTAGACGAAATTAACGTTGGTATCAAAAAGATATTAAATTTATACACTCTCTTTTATTGCCGTGCTTTACTTCTTCAATTTTATTTTTATTTTTTTTCTTTCCTTTGTACTTTTTTTTTCAATGTAATGTCTTCTGTTTTTTTTATTAAGAGTTGTTGCCTTTTATATAAGCAGAGAAATGAGACTATTAACTATAGGAGTGAGAATGTCATTTCCATAACATCAGGGGTGGCATGTAATAGGACTAAATCTCAAGGGTGTCAGTGTAATTTACCCATAAGATGTTTATGTCAAATTCTCAAATTTTGAAAATCATACGATAGTCTCATGTTTATATTTTTAGTGATAGACATGACCAAGAAGTGACGAACATGTCGTAAAATGATTGTCGGACACATGTTCGAAATTAATATTTTTAATTTTAATTAAGAACACGTAAAAAAGAAAATCGGACATGTGTTTTAGAGTATCTAAGGAGTGTCGGTGTCCGACACAGACACGTCACCTTCTTAGAAGTGTCCGTGCTTCGTACTTGTGGAGGTGTGAATGTGATTGTTAAATATTTCCATTTTCATGACTATATTGTCTTATTTCTCAAGAATCATCTGATACAACCCGCTATCTGTGTTGCATTGAATTTGTATGACCATAGGCAATCGTCTAGAATTTATTTGTTGGTATTGCATAACCATTTGTGTCTTATTTTAGTAGTGCTGTAGTTGTTAATTCTATGTTGTTGTTGCTGTAGTCTCCTTTATCGTTCTTACTTAGACATGCCTACTTATTTCTCATTGCTTTTCATGGTTTAAGGAGGTACATGGGTCATAAGAGGACCATCAGACCAAATGCAAAAAAGCTTAGTTCTTTGTTCATGGCACGAGACAAAATGGATTGGGATACATTTGCTAGAAAGGTCAAGTCATGCCAGAGAGGGTTCATGGGAGAACCAGAGGAAGTGAGACCTGGACGAGACGAGTTCATTGAGTATCCATCCTCTTGCATCTGCCAGAAACCGTTCAAATACTCAAATGATAGTGACGGAAATCAGACCTCAAAAGAAGGGGCAATTGTCTCTGAAACAAATTTTGCACGTAGGTCATACAACGGGGATGATCAAGGGGTGAAGAGCTTGCAGAAACCGAACAAGACAATCATCATGAGAAAAGGACCGGTATCTTTAGCAGGAGACAACTGTCAATGAAGATTTTATACCAGGCTAGACATAAAGCAGCCCAAAATGGTGTATGACCCAATTGTCTTCATCTATCGGAGCTAACATGGCGCTGACGCTGAATCATCCACTTCTCTCGGGTGGTATCTGGTTTGTATGTTTGTTAACCCAAAATTTGCACAGCCAACGGGATGCTGCCACATGTAATACCTAAATTTGAATACCAGGAAATAGACTTTGTACAGGAATCAATCTGTTGGGACGTTGTGATGAGTTTTGCAAGTGTTCATAAATGTATTTTTGTGAGGTTTTACATAGTGGGCATGTATTGCCCACTGCTTCTTAACAAGATTTCAGCTTATTTTGTTTCCTGTCTTCTTTATTTCAGAAAAATTACACTTTGTACCAAATCTCACTTTGGTCTCGACACACGAAATCATGATAATCAACCTCTTATACTTTTGGTCAAATTTCACCTTGGTCTCTTATACTTTTGGTCAAATTTCACTTTGGTCTCTATACATAAAATCATGATAGTCAACCTTCTGCACTTCTAGTCAAGTATCAGTTTGCCCTTTCTATTACTTCATTATTTAAGTTTTTAACAGAATTCAATCATATGATAAACATGTAACTACGAAATGAGAGCAAGAGAGAAAAATCATTCTTATTTCCTATCAATACACACTTTGTCTTACATGATAAGTGTGTGAGTTATATAATATATGTGTGTGTGTATTCGTATGCTGAAAATTAAAACGAATAGGTAAGAAAATAGAACCTTTAAAATAAATAACAAATAAATAAAAAGGTAGCAGAAAAATCGAAAACTCTATTACTGTGGCAAACAGAGTTTCATTATTCTAATTTTTGCAAAATCTTAGTTCATCTCTTTAATCGTTCACAATTTGCATTTTATTTTAACTGAATACAATCAAAATTTGATATATATTTTGGGACAAAATGTGTATAGATGGAAAATTTGTGTCATTTTCTTCTTTTGCACTCATTTTGTAATCATATGCTTGTCACATTACTGACTTCTGTTAAAGACTTATGCCCCGTTTTTTGCACTCATTTTGTAATCATATGCATGTCACATTATTGACTTCTGTTAAAGACTTATGCCCCGTTTGTTTTGGGAGATAGAATGGAGGGGATTGATAGTGAGAGGATTGTTAGTGAGGGGATTGATAGTGAGAGGATTAATAATGAGGAATTGTTAAATTATTTTTATATAAAAAAATAGAAATATATATAAAAAATTAAACATTATATTTAAAAAAAAATTCCCAATATATAAAAAATAAAAAAATTTCTAATTCTCTCACTATTTTCTAATACCATCTCTACCTCCTCCTTACCAATCCCCCTTCCAAGGGTATTAGTAATACCAAGGGACTAATAGTCTCAAGGCTATCTCTGCAAACAAACCAGGGCATTAATAATACCTTGGTATTACTAGTCCCAATACCCTCCCTATAGCCTAAAACAAACGGGGCCTCATACGATACAATAACAAAAGAGAAACATTGACACTTGACTAGAAGTATAAGGACTTGATTGTCACGATTTCATAAGTGCAGAGAGTTAACTGTCACGATTTCATGTATAAAGATCAAAGTAGAATTTAACAAAAAATGTAAATAATTGACTGCCACAATTTTATATGTAGAAACCAAAATGAAATTCAACACAACGTCTATGGATGCAAAATGTAATTTACCCCTTTATTCCCGATCTAAGTGCACCACCTGTTGGTGCATTCTGTTTAATGTGGGAAGTGGCAGTCGCAGTGTCTTGTTTATATACATATAATATGTATATATATATATAAACTATGAAAGCCAAAATAATATTAGGAAATAAAAACTAATCCTAAATTCACTAGATTCTAGTTTAACAATAACCTCGAATAAAGAACAAAAAAAAGTTACTAAAAAATAATAAAGAAGACTGCTATATATGTTTTACTGTCACTAGATACATGAGATTATATTATTTATTTTTATTATTTTCTTAATGATTATTTCCAAACAAGGAAGCAAGCAATAATACAAAACAATAACATATAGCATTTCGTATAATAATAAAAAGAGGGCCTAAAACATTGCCGCAAACATACCACTTGTCTTACTATCAGACATGAGAATCTCCTGTTCAAAAAACCAAAAACAAAACAAAAAAGCAAAAAAAATACACACACAAACACAAATAAAATAAAAAAAACAAACACAAAACACAAAACAAACGTAAATGAGAATCAAAGAGCAAACAGAACGCAACCACCTCCAGTGTAAATTATTTGATGGCCCACAAAAATCAGTCGAAGGAAAAGTGAAATCCAAACTCTAATCTTGCTATCATGCAGAGAAGATGGGTTCTAACAAAATGAGACTGGATTTCACTAACCATGATTAATTGAAGATCAATGCCCAGGACAATCGAAAATGAACTGTGTTACCATTATGCATCTGTGACATCCGTAAAAAGTTACCAGTACCAAAAACTATACAAATAGGCCGTTTTACAAATAGGCCATCTAAAAACATGCCGGATGGTGATTTCAATACACAAGTGATAGAGATATCAGACCGGCTGAACAAAGTTATCATCTTCCATTTCAAAATCTAAACACCATTAAAGCCTATACGATCAATTGAAGCAGCAAAATGTTATGATAGATAAATCTGAAAAACTCTGCAATTTTAATCCAACCAGATGGGAGATTTTCCATCTACAAACCTATTTATAGTGAACCCTAGGGAGATCATCACATCATAGTTCTGTATTAAACGAAAAATCAATATAAACATCTGCTAACTAAATTTTACAGCTGAACCTTCAGCGACAATTTCCATTCCTAGTTTTTTCTCTTCTACAATAAATATACACGGACACTGCTACATCTTCTGTTCATCCAAATATTCATTGAATTTTTTGAGAGTTTCAATCCCATCATTTTGGAAGCACTCCTGTCAACTATGGTTATTCCCTGTCACAAACACCCAGCAACAAGTTTTAAGCACTTGCACAAATACCATAATTATAGACCAACTGCAATAAGTAGGTTAGTATATCATTCAAATCATCCTATAGCAAAATGAGCACTTCAAGATCTACCTTCTAGAAGTACTACCCTTGTTCTGGCTTCTCTGAGTTTTATCTTGTGAAACAGAAGGAATCTTCGAGATCATCAGCGAGCTTTGCAATCCTTCTAATAGCTGCATTCAGCAAAATCAATAAGCACTCCATGGTTGAATAATCTCGGGCATGTATATGAAACATAGAAGCATCAAGATCGCGGTATGATCAGAAACGATTTTTGTTCAATCACTAAAAAGTTAGGTTTGCCTCAATGGCAAAGTATTCACCATATGCTAGGAAGCACGGATACAGATACGGGATACAGATACGATACGATACGGATACGGCGATACGACAAAATTTGAAAAACTAGGATACGGATACGGTGGGGATACGTTCGTAAAAAATATTATTTTAACAATTTTTAGTAATGCAGTATGCATAAAAATAAAACCTAAAGCAAAAGACAACTTGATAAAGAAGAAAGATTCCTATAAAACTAAGAGTCTTCAAGGTCAATAGCTTCAACTTGTTCCCCTTCATCAGTGAATATCACAAGATCTTAGCTAAAGCCAAAAAACTATTCTTAAATAAAAATTTTAGCAAATATACTTTTTTAAGTCATCAATGATAGCCTAGGAAGCACGGATACGGATACGAATACTGATATGGTGATATGGGGATGTGGATATGGCGATACGTCAAAACTTAAAAAAGTATGATACGGGTATAGCGGGGATACATTCGTAAAAAAAAAAAATTATAATTTTAATAATGTAATATGCATGAAAATAAAACTTAAAGTAAATTACTAAATAAAGAGAGGGATTCCTATTAATCTAAAAGTGCTCAAACATTCATAAAACATCCAAAACTAAAAGCAAAAGCAAAAGCAAATACAAATTAAACATCATCCTTACATGCCAACATCAAAAAAAGAATGAGAGTGGAGAGAAAAAACATGAGAGAGTGAGAAAACGAGAGAGAAGTGAGAGAGACAACAAGGATACATCAATTTGACAAATTCTATTACTTTAACTCTCACTATATTCCTCTTATCAAAAAACTAAACAAAATATTATAAGTAATATGTAACTTCGAGTATCCGATACTTCAAAATTAATAAAAAATTAATTAAGAAGTATCCGATACTTTTAAAAAGTATCCGATACGTATCCGCGAGTATCCGAGGAGTATCGGTATCCGATAAGTATCCGATACGGATACGTCACCCTTTTTGAAGTATCCGTGCTTCATAGACCATATGTAATGGTCAATTAAAAGACAAAGTTAGAGTTGGTTTGTCTAAAACATGGGAATCTTAAAACTATGTTTGGCTTCATAACAGGAAGACTGGACACAAGTTATATAGATAATTGGGTATGTACAGCTATTGGCTTAATCAAGTATTATAGATGAAAAACATAATGACTTAATCTACTCAGTAAAATTTACACTGCACTTCTTTTCATTGATAATTCATCGATAAAATGCTAGCAAAGAAGGATGAGTTAACACAAATATTACATTTGGACCAAAAGGTGGTTAACATGACCTCTTTCTTGGAATATGAGTCCCCTCCAGAATTTTGGATAACTCCAAACAGGTACTAGATTATTATTCTCAGCATCAATGCTAAACCTTAGATTCAATACCATAGTAGAGATATTTAAAAAAATAAGGGAGAATTTCAAAAAAGTGGTGTAGACAAAATAATTTTAAAATAATAAAGGTACAAGTGGTTCATGCATAAATTTATGCAATAAAAACTTGAACTGTCATCATTTTGAAATTATTTTTTCTACCCTCCACTTTTTTGAAATTCCCCAAAAAAATAAATAATAAATAAATTATAACCAAATAATTGATGACCCAACATGTAAAATTGCAATTGTTTTTCCCAACACTTCACATTTATCATTAAACATTTATTATTCACAAGAAAAAAAATCCCTACCATGGAATGCGTGAGCACACGCGCGCACACAGCTTAGACCAGTTTCCATGGATGGAAAAAAGTATACTATTATTTCAATGGAGTTGATAGTGAAAAACAAGAGATACCACATAGATCCATCAATACAAACCTACACTAAGGTATTTAAACAAGAAAAATGATTTAGAGCACTAAAAGAGGAGCACTAAAAGAGCATTAAATTGTCTTTTTCCTCTTTGTGTTTTGTCTTTTTCCTCTTTTCTTTCTATTTTAATTTTTTTTTAGGCATGCCACATCATTAGAGCTGCTTTTAGTGATCTTATTTTAGTGGTCTGTATCATAGTTGTTTAAACAATTGGTCACAAGACTTACCCTTGATGTTGGCTGGATTCTGCGGTTTGATCTCCGTGGCTCCATGACTTCAGGAACCAATTTTCCCGGATTACCATTGTTAGGTTTGTTCTTCACCTCAACTTTAGCCAACTTTCCTGTTGAAGGTACAAATTTTCCTTTATTCACCCGTTCAGATTTGGCATTTGATGTGGATATTTTCTTTGAAGGAGCATCTGATGGAAGAGCTAGTGAAGAAAATAAAATCGGGCCTTGTGCAGCCCCTTCAGTATTAGAAAATGATCCATATTCCATCAGGTTCTGCTGTCCTGATTCATTCTTGTCAGTGTTAACAGAATCCTTGATCGCATGATCCATTACAGTGCCTTCGTTTTGAGGTGCAGAGGTCAAAAACTTGTTCTTCTGAGGTAGTGTTCTACCAAAAACACTCAGTGGTCTTCCAGACTTAAGAACCCTAGCCTTGGATTCAGCTGGCTGTTTTTCCTTGGCATCAATTTTAGTGTTCTTCCATCCACGAGATCCTGATCCTTGAGGCATCAAATATTTTGCAAATTTAGCCGAATCATTTGGTTCATTAGTCTTACTGCTCTTCTCTGCAACATAATGTTTGCTTACTTCCATAAATTTCCTTTTCTTTCCAGGTTTAGGAACACCAAAAACCACCCTTGACCCTTCTTTCTGTAGACCAGTCTGTACTGTTCGAAGTGTATCAGGCTTACTCTCATGTCTAGTATTCTTACCAACATTAAATACTTTTTCATTGGCAGATAACGGCAGTAACTGTGAATCCCCCGGTTTCTCGGATTCCACAAGTTCAACATTTTTTGAGATGTCATCCTTCTCTTTGCCCTCTATTGAAGGCCTGCCCAATTTCAATCGCTTCTCCTGGGGTGTATCGCCCTGAAAAGCAAATGAAACCTAAGTAATAAAGAACCAGTAACTTCAAAGTTTTTAACAAATGATTGTGAAGCATATACACAAGTAAAAATAACACCTGGGAAGAAGGGTCCCTTTGCCTTGAACTGGAAAACTCAATCCACTCCCCATCCTTCCAAATGAGCGTTGGTCGTAGATGCCACGCTCTAACAACCGACGTTTCCCCTCCAGCTACAACAGAATCAAAGAGAAGTTCATTTAATGAAAAAGCAAACCAAAAACTATCATTGTTGCCATCAAAAACCTTGATGCGTCAATGAACCAATGTCATTTAATTGCAAATACCTGGAAAATGGACAGTTAGTGTAGTATCATCCTTACTGTTCTTTTCTGTGACAACTCCCTCTCGCCAGCTAAACCACAGTAATAAGACAAATAAGGTTAGATCACTTCGACATAGTATATGACACCCATGGCTAAGATGTATCCTTGTGAACAAACAAACTTCAGATTTAAAGCTTGATTTTTTGGCAAGAAATTTTAAAAACAACTAGGATATAGGCCTTACACTCCATGTTCTATTCCTACCATGTCTGAAAAGAAAACAAAAACAAAGAAATATTCTTCAACTAGGTCAGGATTGATTCCCAGTTATTTTGGGTTTCAGAGTAGTTTGATTCAATTCAGTAAGATTTTGGGGTGTGTATAACGTGTAGTTCTGATTTGTAATAATGAAAAAGGGAGATTTGTTTTTAGTTTTTAAATTAAGCCAATTCTTTTTGTTATCCATGTAATTATTGGATGCAAATTTTAGTTTAACCTCCTCCAATAATTACAAACTAAACTATTGTATAATGATCCTACACAGAAGGTAATTTGTCACCAGGTAATAATCCCACATCATAATTTATGGATTTTAATGAAATCTTCTGGAAAATTGTCATGTACTTGCCAATACCAATAGACATCAGCCACCAAGACCAAGACTAAAATCGATAGATAAATTGGGTAAAAAGAAATAATTTCATTAAGAAAACTATGATGAGGGAAGGAGGGATGGGTAGCAGCTGTCATATGGAGAGGAGGGAAACAAGGGTTCCAGAATCTGAGAGAGGAACAGGGGCAGTGGTACGACAGGGAAGGGAGGATGGAGGGTGGCAGCGAATATAAAGAGAAGAGGGAAAGGCACCAACTGGTTGGGGAGAGGGAGGAAAAGGGGTAGGGACGTGACAAGAGAGGGAGGGAGCGGTGACAATGACAGAAGAGGAGATGGGTGTAAGAAGAAGAAGAAGAAAAAATGTCCAAAACTTAGTTGCGCAAAGCAAAAGCAAGATCAGGGCGGGGGTGGAGGCAAGGCAACCCAGGAAGATAGTCACCAGCACCTGAAAATGGTTTTTCCCAAGTAAGGTGAGCCAAAGCCCAGTAGAAACAGTCTAACACAATATATTAATCTTAACAAAGATATAAGTATGATATGTATGTACCATGCCTAAGATAAAATCATTTATATTTTTTATATATAATTTATATATAAATATTTCAGTATATTGTAAGAAATATGTTTTTTTCTTAATTGTAATATAAATTTTAAAATATGAATCACTATTGGAGATTGATGTCAACTACAAATTATTTTTTGTAAATGTAAAAGAATATTATGCAAATACAAGTATTATAATAAATTTGAGTCATTTTTTCTAATAATCTGATGGCTGCTACAATTTTTTTGGTAATTGCTAGTTTCAGGCCATGTGTGTTTTTTGAAACAAAAAAATTGAATAGCAAATAACATATTTGGTACACATGATTTCAAAACACAAAAACAAAAATAGGAAAACATGGAAGGAGAATGGTGGGCGGAGGGGTAGGGGACGGAGGAGGGAATAAAAATTTCTTTTCAAGTGAATATTTTCTTTTTACTAAAATTTTGAAAACTGAGAAATGAAAACAGTTGTCAAATATGTTTTTGTTTCCAATTTTTAATTATTTTGAAGAACAAAAAGACAAAGCAAAAACATTACCAAACATAACCTTAGCTATTAATTAACACAAACCATGTAAAACATATCAGCTAAAGAAGGATAGAAAGGAGACATCAACAAATGTCAAAAAAGAGACAAACATGCAATAACAAGTATCATAATTACCAATTCTTTATCCATGCATCAACCCTATCTCCAACAGACCACACATATTCCCCCACGGCCGCTCTGCGTCTCTTCCTAGTTCCTTCAAAACACATGGCAGTACGACGGTCAATTCGTATTTGGGGTGCCCTGTGGCCTTCGCCTTCAAGTGCTACCCATTCAGTTAGCTGCTTTGAACCTGATCATATTCAGATAATAAGTAACCAAAATTAGAACCCAAGAAGCCTCAAGACAATTGTGTCAGAACATATACAGAATTGTCTAAATACATTTTTTTTTCTTTTCCAATATATGAAGACCAACCCAGATAATAACTCCCCAACTGATGTTCAAGGTTGGGCAACAACTCCCCTACTCATGTTCAATAAGGCGCATATTAACCACAAATCTACAATGATTAAGTATATACAACACCACAATGAACATATCATTGTTTTATATCTGTAACAAGGAAATTCCAAACTACAAGTCTATAACATTGAATGAAGTAGCCAAGCTTGACGAATTTTGGCAACAGTATGTGCACTACTAACCAGATTCTAAGTCAACCTGATTTTCAAAGAATATGGCCGACTAAGATGAAAACAACAGTGTCCACAAGGTAGGGCATATGCAACACTCGCATATGTGCTCGAAAATGTCTATTCCAAGATCAATGTTACATGGACCTTTGGTATGAGGGTCAAGCGTGGGTGCATCTAATTAAAGGATATGCAGACTCAGCAAAAAATAATCATATTTTTATATTGTTAATCTATTTGTTGGATAAATGGTGTTTTATGTAGAAAAATCTATGTTGCATTACATGGACTTTACTATGAGTGTCAGGTGGGTGCATCTAATTCAAGGATATGCGGACTTAGCAAAAAATAATCATATTTTTAGATTGTTAATTTATTTTTTTGGTATAAATTGTGTTTTGCATAACATAGATTAAAAAAATAAAAAACACTTCGCTCATTTTATATAGCAAATATGCAACAAAAAATGCATATAATGATCATGTTAAGTACAACTGTATAACAAAATAAGCTCGCCAAGCGCATATCTAATGGGAAAAATCATACACATATCTCACACCCTCATCCAAGTGCTAAGAGTCTGACACAAGTACTTGATTTATTTTGAAGATCCCATGCAACATAGTCCATGATTTTACATCACAAGCCTACTAATTCCCTTTAGATCATATGCATATATAGATGGTAGCATCTCACCATCATCTGATTGAAGGTCTAAGTAAACAACAAAAGCTTTTCCATCCTTCAGACTCGATACATTGGCCAAGTACCAGGCTGCTTTAAACTCATCACCCTCTTTGTGAACCTAAAACATCAAATGGCTAGATTACTACATGTTTAAGATCATACAACATATATACAACAGCTGCAATAAATTACAAAAACATAAAAACTGGTGCATGTAAACTCTTCAAATATGACAAAGTGTCAAGAAGCTTCAAAGCTGCAATAGTTGAAAGAACATATATACAGTTCTCTGCTTTTGAATTGCTGTGAGCCCAAATAATTAATATTTCCAAGAAGTTGAGTCACAAACCTCAACAAGGCAACCCTCCTTGATGCTATTCTCTTTCAAAGTCCCTGCTCCTTTTTCATAATCATCCTGAGCAGTGATAGAAGCAGATCTTGATCCAATCTCAGATTCAGGAACAACACCTATGGTTTTGGCTAAGTCAGATGCTCTACGATTCCTTTGCCCTCTTGAATCCTTTTCACTGCTTGTAAAGGAACTTGAGATGCCATCCACTGCCCTCGTGTGATCCTCCAATGACTCCCCGGAAAACTCTCTCGAAAGAGGAAACAAATCACGGTTTGTAGTCCTTGCCTCCTTTGATGGTCCTTCCTTGCCATGCCTACCAGAAACATTGAAGCCTTCCTCAATGTTGTCTGCTTCCGATTGTTCTCCATTACCATTGATCAATGTTACACCCTGCTCAGGGGGCATTTGAGGAACTCGCCAGTAGCCATCTGGGCCAGCTTTTACCAACCCATTCAAAGGGAAAGGATCACCCATAGCAACTATTTTCCCAGCTTGTGAAACAGCCTCTGCTGCCAGCTCAGCAGCTTTTACTATAGCGTCCAAGTTTTCGGCATGCTTTGAGGCAGCTGATGCAGCTTCAACCCTTCTCCTAGCAGCTTCCCTAGCAGCAACTATGACGGAACTGGAAGAGCTGCTCCCATCCCCTCCCTTCGAAATGGATGCAGGAGTAGCCTTCCCCATATTGTTCACAAAACCAGTAAGTGAAGCTGCATTACACTGAGTAGGATTGCTACTAGAGATCAATGCCTCATCAGCCATCAGTTTTGCTTGCAGCGCAGCATTTGATGCAATCTTAGCAGCTGCAGCAGCTGCCTTGGCAACAGAAGCAGCTGCTGCTACTGCAACAGCTGCAGAAGCTAACTTGGCTTCAGCATCTGGAGTCAATCCAGAACTCTTCTGCTTATCCAACTGAGTCCATACACTTTGGCTGTGACTAACTGCAGCAGCAGCAAAAGATGCAGCATCCTCCGCCTGTCGCTTCGCCTCCTCCACTTTGCTAAAAGTATCCTCTGATAATGCAGCCTTCTGCTCTGCATTCTGTTCCCCTCCTTTTTGGTGAGCAGTCAAAGATGTAGGAGATACAGCCGTGATGATCTTACTGTCATTGCCTTTAGATGCAAAGCATGCAGGAGTTGAGACAACAACTGATGTAGACAGATGACCAGTAGCAATAGGAGCAGATACTGATTCTATCCGAGTTTGAGCAAGCAGTGGGATCTGGGCAAGATTTTCAGAAACAGTAGCCTTTTTCCTCTTTCTACCCTTTGGTTCAGTGGAATTCTTTTCAGACAATACAGTCGCCTTTTTCATGTCAGGCAGGGAAGGACTCCCCACAAAATTAACAGGACCTGTGCTATTGACCACAGTACTAGGAGAAGCATGCTTTGTTCCAGAGGAGAAAGGCGCCACTGATTCTTTAACAGGGGTTAATTTCACTGTCTCTGTCATAGGCAACACAGAGAAACGAGCACTGGTATCGAAGGCAGAAGCTTGTGAAGAAGTAACCCATGGGCCAGGAAAAGGTGACTGAGGTAGCCAAGAAGTGTTATGTCCAACAAAACTCCGTGTATGTGGAGTCTGAAAAGAATGCAAGGGGGACAATGTTTGATGGTAATCAAGAAGACCGCTTCTTGGCATAACACTGGACTGCAAGCCATCAGAAGAAGGGGTAGATATATTCCAAAGTGGTGATGAAAGAGGTATCATTGAATTAACAACCGGTGACGGGGTACCCTTGCTGCTTGCTTGAACAACAGGTGAGGGAAGCACCTTACTTTGAAGTGCACCTTGTTTGCTTGATTGATCAAGCGGCCTAACACCTGCATTTATTGATTCTGAAATGCAGTTAGACGTCAACCAAGCCCATGTTAAAAAAACAAAAAACAATTAAACAAAAACAAACTTAAAATCCAAAGGTACCTGAACGAGGTTGAACGGGGTTTTCAGATTTGCTGGGATGGGATTTCTGACTTTTAAGCCTTTCAACACAAGCACGCCATACAGGCTCCCAAACACTCCTTCCACCATCTATAATACAAATTTTCAGAGACTGACCATATATGTCTCTAACTTCATCTAAAAAATAATACAAATGCAGGGGGCTAATAAACTAACCAGATGCTCCGAAGGCCGAAGTCATACATGCTTCATCAGGCGTTGCTCCTTGTCTGTAACAAAAAGTTCAAATTTAAATTTCATAAACAGACATATAAGAAATAAGATACTCCAAACTTTAGCATCAAATTTCAATCTACAGAAAAGAAAGCACTACATATAACAAATTTAGCATTGGCTACACAATCCTGTCCTATACTAATTAATGAATCCTTAAGAAACTAGAAACATTGTAAATAGAAATTATGTGTACCATGTTAAAACCTATCACCTACGTCACCCACTAAACCTAACCCACTACACCACTACCACCTCACCTACTCCACTAAACCTAACCCACTACACCACTACCACCTCCACTTCACATACTCCACCTACCACCTCCACTTTACCTATTCCATCTACCACCTACTCTTCTATATATAGGAATCATTGTAACATTCAATAAATCAACAATCAATAATACAATCAATATCTATACAATTCTCTATTTCTCTATACATCAATTTTAACATGGTATCAGAGCTAGGTTAAGAACCTAGTCATTCTGCTTCACCGGCGGGCGGCAGCCTCGCAGCAAAATTTGAAACAAACCCAACTCTAAATCCAAGTCAAAGCACTAAAATCCAACAAGCATTCAAACCAGCAAAATTCAAAGCACTGTCTCCATTTCATATTTCAACCAGCAAAATTTGAAACAAACCCAACTCTAAATTCAAGTCAAAGCACTAAAATTCTGAATATCAAAAACATATGTGCCGGCAAACCCAAAAATAAAATCCAGTCAAACTTAAATTAAATAAAAACATAGCTTCAAAGCTAAATAAAAATAATTAATTCCCTTTTTCAAGGATTTGCATCTGGCGTTGGCGAATATATTGTGCTTGCAATGGAGGCATAATGCTCGTATCCATTGACATGATTCTCTCTTCCTCTCTCCTTTCCTCCAATGCAAGCCTTCGTTCCTCTCTCTTTTCCTCATTTTCAATCCTCCGTTCCTCTTGAAGATAAGATTTCTCAAATATCTCTATTTTCTTCTCATTTGTTATGTCATTCTTTACCTTTATCTCTTCTAAGAGCTTCACAAAAGGCGACTCTGTAACATTATTTCCAAGATCTTTAGCTTTGTTTTTCTTTGCGGCCTTCCTTCCTATTGGTCTTTCCACAACATCATAGTTATCATTGTTCTCTAAGTTTACTGAATCTGGTGTACAAGGGGTTGACGTTGCCGGAGATGCATTTTTTGTGCTTTTTTGCTTCTTTGTTGTTGTATCTTCCATCCACTTTGGTTGGGATCTCAATTCATTCCAACAATGCTCAAAGGGAAAGTTCGAGTGATACAAGTCTTTGTACAATTTTTTCGCATCCTGAATCTGAAAAATAGATTAAAGAATAATCACTATCACGCAATGAATAATATATATTCATTATAGGTACAAAATTAAATTGTAGTAATACCTTGTCTTTTTCAGTCGAACCACTTCGATTTAACCGTTCAACTTGAGCAAAACATCCACAAAATTTATTTGTGGCAAGTTGAATCGTCGACCACCGATTCATTAGAGAAGTTTGAGTTCTTTCAGAATCGAAGGTTTTGTACTTGTTGTAGTTCTCCCACACTCTTAGCCAATATGCCTTTGACTTTTGCTCATTTCCTCTAATTGGATCTAAGCTAATATTAAGCCATGAAGAAATGAGCATCATGTCTTCCTCTTCGGTGAAATTCCCTTTGCGTTGTGATATCTTTGTAGTTTGAGTAATAATTTCAGGAGAGAATGATAAAGATTGACTCTCTTGTTGAGGAGATTCAGTGGTAAAATCATGGTCAACGTCAAACTCGTTCATTAGGTTGCTAAAATACGCATTTCCTTGATATTCCATCTAAATCACAATTGTTCATACCACACAAAAAGAAAAGAAAAAAAAAAGTATCAATTCATTTCATAATGGACATAAACATCTTTCAAAGTAATTTAAAATTGGACATAATTGGACATTAATGGACAAAGCATGATACAAACCATATTTTATTCATTTCAGGGATCAACCCCGATCACAATTTTACACAAAAAATAAATAAATAAATAAAAAAAAACCAAACAAACAAACAAACAAACACCAGCGGGATTTTTCTTCTTTACTCTGCCGCCGGTCTCTTCTTTTTGCCTCCGTCCTGGGCGGCTCTTGACGGTGTTGCCTCCGTGCTTCCTCCTCCACCGAGTACGTTCACTCCCCCATACTCCTCCACTGCAACATATGGCGGACCTCCAAATCGGAACATCACGGTGGCCTTCCGCTTCAGCTCCTTATTTTCCGCCTTTAGCACACTTATCTCTGCTCGCGCATCCTTATACATGCGTTGGAGCAGAGCCAGTTGGGCGTTTAACTGCTGCACCTCATTTGTCCTACTCTGAAGCCGGTGCGACAAGTTTGTGACTGCCATCATCGTTTCCACACATGACTTCAATGTATACTGATTCGCCTCAATATCTGATTGCGCTGCCATTCTTTGCTCCACAGACCGCATAGGAAAGGTCAACGGAGCAAACTCAAGGGCGTTTGGTTGAGGTTCAAGGGTAACCGCACCGATTATATCTCTTGTGGACTCGTTGAGGTCGGGAAAGAGAGTAAGCAGACCACGGGAAGAAGAGGCCATGTTCTGGGTAGTTGGACGGGAAGAAGAGGCCATGTTATGGGTTGCTGAGTGTTTCAGAGACGGGTTGGTTACAGAGTGTTTCAGAATGCCAATGTTCAGCGGTTTCAGACTGGTTTGCACAGCCTCCGCCTCAACCTTGGTTTAAATAGCCAGGGCAGATACGCGTATCGCGCGCCACTTGACGCCAGACGACAAACGGGCGCGCCAGCCAAGGCACTCACGTTGGGCTCGCCTTTTGATGGCACGCCTTTTGAAAAATTGGGCACACCTTTTGAGGGTGCCACTTTTACATGGGTCCGACAAGACTCTATAAACTGTCCCGACATTTGATACCGGTTAGCTTTTTCAAGGGTCCGACAAGACTCTGTAAGCTGTCCCGACATTGATTCCGGTTAGCTCCTTCATGGGTTCGACAAGACTCTGTAAACTGTCCCGACATTGATTCCGGTTAGCTCCTTCATGGGTCCGACAATACTCTGTAAACTGTCCCGACATTGATTCCGGTTAGCTCCTTCATGGGTCCGACAAGACTCTGTAAACTGTCCCGACATTGATTCCGGTTAGCTTCTCTATCGGTCCGGTGTGCCCTCGTCAACTGTCCAGACTTTATCTGCTACAACGATCTGCCACCACCATCCAGTGTCCTCTACAACGTTATGACACAACTATCCAGTGTCTTCTACAACGTTATGACACACCCATCCAGTGTCCTCTACACCGTTATGACACAACCATCCAGTGTCCTCTACAACATTATGACCCAACCATACAGTGTCTTCACCAACGGTCTGACACGACCATACAGTGTCTCCTATCCTCTTTTATTTTTATGTATTTTCTTGATTTGTTACTCTCTCCAAACTCAAGTTGGTTAGTTCCTATCCCCCTTGAGTTTGCGGGGGCTGTTAAAACCTATCACCTACTTCACCCACTAAACCTAACCCACTACACCACTACCACCTCACCTACTCCACTAAACCTAACCCACTACACCACTACCACCTCCACTTCACCTACTCCACCTACCACCTCCACTTTACCTACTCCATCTACCACCTACTACCACCTACTCTTCTATATATAGGAATCATTGTAACATTCAATAAATCAACAATCAAGAATACAATCAATATCTATACAATTCTCTATTTCTCTATACATCAATTTTAACATACCATATAAAAGCATAAATAACATCATTTGATTTGTGACAAAGGAGAAGCTTCTTTTTAATTTAGATAAGCTATGATGCCTTTTTCTCTTCCTTTTCTTCCTTAGAAATATCACTGGATGCACCATTTCCAGTGCTAAAAATCATATGACTCCGTAAGAAAGTTTTTTTTATTAATAAAAACATCAAAAAATTTATAGATGGCCACAAAATATTAATAATTAGATTAAAGTTGATAGTTTTAAGCTTCACAAACCACCATCCGCCCATCTTGTCAAAGTTGATGATGATATGCTTAACCAATAACAAGTTCTTTTCTGAAAATCAAATGACAACATGCTAAGAATTAACATTCATCCAAAGCTTGCATCTCTAAGATGCAGTTGCACTCCTTTTATGTATCCCACTGGTGATGTTACAAGTGTAAAAGGTCATTAGCACCCCGTCCAAAGCCATAAAGTTAATTAACTAATCCAACCTTTCTTTATCAATCCACAATGTCTCCATATACACAGATAATATACATACATATAAATATAGAAGTACTCACATCAGAGATCCATAAACAAAGATCTGGGCTCGCAATTGCACTTGCTGTAAATCTGTGAAAGGTTGTTGAAACAATGCAGATGGCAGAGCTGAAGAGTTCAAATCTGGCAAAATGGATGTGGGAACAGAAATCACACCACATGGTACAGTAACATTGCGTTCAACATTCCCATAAGCCTTCAACCCTTCAAACGGTACAAGTTGACCAGCCCCAGAGAAGCTCACTGACACATTACAAGACTTATCCTGTCTTTCTGACTGCCTCAATGGGGTTGTTTCCTTCACATGGTTTCCTTTTTTAGCAGTTTCTTTCACTGTTGCCTTACCAGATGCTCGCCTCGTTTTACGCTCAGAAGTACCTTTGGAACGTCCACGTGCAATCTCCCGGTCAGGAGTTTGAGAACTTCCGTGAGAAACCCCGGGTAACATCTTAGGATCCATTTGGCCAACTCCAGGTTTTAAGGGAGATCCCACCACAATCTTCATTAAAATTTCATGACAAGAAATGGTATTAATAGTAACATAAATATGAAATACAAAAAAATGTGAGAATTAATGCATGATCAAATATCAAAATAAAGAACAATTACTGTGGATATTTTGCAATCTTTGATGGTGGACAATGATTGCCCATCCTTGCCAGTCTCCCTTCCTGATAGACCTTGTGATGGATGGACCTCAAAGGTGAAGCTCCTCTCATTTTTGGCTGCATCATTTCCGCTTACATTCTGGGGAGTTGACTGGACAGTGACCTCAGACAGTGGGACACTCTTACTTTTTGACTCCTGGACTCCCTCTTTCTTTTCTTTTTCACTTTGAGAAAGCATAGTGCAAGTAATAACAGTTGGTGTACCACATTTAGGTTTATCAGAATCTGCAGAAGCACCAAGAATTTTTGTCAGATAAATCCCACTTATCTCAAGGAACTAGGTTAACAAAAAGGATATAAAATCAGAGAAAGTATTACATCATAACGATGGGAAATACAATACACCAAAACTCTAGCATTATATGTAGGCACTGGTTGTCACACTAACACCAATTGGCTACAAGTTTGTCAATCTCTTCCCCTACTTTAAGAACCTAGACAAAGGTTACATAGTTGACCATTCCCCGCTTTTGTTTTTTGAAAAAATCTCAACTCCTAGATTTTCAGACATGGCCTTAAGTAGTAGTAGGTAAATCTTGTTTGGTCAAGATACATTATTGTAGCTGAATTAGCTGGCTTAGAAGTTGTCATATAGCCTACACTCAAACTGACGTCACACGCAAGCCGCATGCATATGATCATTTTGTTTCAAAATAAAAAAAAAAGACTATAAATTGTATGATTAAATTAAAAATCTAAAATTTGAAATGAATTTGGAAAAATCAGAAGTTGAGAGATTTGGGGGGCAAAACAAAAACAAAAGCAAAAAACCTGAATTTAGGGCATAACTGCCCATGTAACTACTATAGGGATATTTTCGGAAAAGCCAAAAACGAGACATCAACACCAACTCTAGTCTTCACATATATAATAGTATAGGTAGAAGACAAAGCTATGTACCCCTTTAAATTCCATAAACAAAAAGTTTAAAGTAAAATTTTCTCGCAATTATGTTCTTAGGATTTTGTGATGTTCTTCCACTTTTCTTCTCCTTCTCTATCTTCGTTGTAATTCTTGGCAAGGATAATTTCAGATTTTAATCACCATCAATCAACAACTTAACTGAAGCATACTTCCATAATCTTAATACATTTCCTATATGCCTGTTCCCTGACACTCGAGATCGTATCGCACACAATGCCTACAAAGCATGAAATCGCCAAATTACATTTAACTGGTGAGACATAGGCAATCATATGTAAAACTGACCCCAGATGTAGCTGACATAAAGAAAGCATAAATAGGGGTTGACTAAAAGCAAATTCCACTTTTTTCAGGTCTTTACTGACCTCACTTTGACATCAAACCAATCTCGAGGATTTCTTATGTTTAATAAGTTAAAAGTATTTGGTTAAATTTAGATACTCCATGTAAGAAATAATGTATAGAGAAAGAGAGAGAATAAATTGTATGTATTATTATTGATTGATATATTGATATCTATTACAATGATTCATGATTCCTATATATAGAAGAGGGTGAGTGTGTAGTAGGTAAGGAGTAGGTGAAGTGGAGGTGGTAGTGGTGTAGTGGGTTAAGTTTAGTGGAGTAGGTGAGGTGGTAGTGGTGTAGTGGGTTAGGTTTAGTGGAGTAGGTGAGGTGGTAGTGGTGTAGTGGGTTAGGTTTAGTGGAGTAGGTTTAAGTGGGTGAAGTAGGTGGAGAGTAGGTGGATTTTAACACTCCAAATTAATGATGTAATGTCTATATAGCTGGGTCTTTAAGTAGAAAGTTTTTAGTTGAAATGGATGGGCTTTACAAGTCTATAAACAACACATTATGCACCAGCAGTAAGGCCAGAATTGAAGTTCCTCACTCAAATTGTTCCTCAAATAATTTGTTTCATCAAAATTGAAGTTATTCCAGGATATCAAAACAATGGCGACTGTACTTAAAACAAATCCAGTGAGGGCTAGGCAAAGGGAAATGACACAATGGCCTTGACAAAAAAGGGCCAGTTATTGCTGTAAGATGGTGAAACAGAACTTGCGGTCAACCCTTGTGGCATAATATCCACATAACACCCAGGATAACCTGTGTCTGTGTTTATATCATAACATGCATGCAGGAGTTAATTCTGACTCCCATTTATTGGTTATTGTTTGTATACTCTCATGAGGCCAATTGACAAGATTTGAGAGAAGGCATACCAAGCAGACTAAGGATTTAATTGGCTAAGATCGCAAGTGGGGAGGAAAAGACAGAGAGATCAAAAAATAAATGAAATAATATATGAACCTGCAACTTTTGAGGATGGCATTTCATGATTTTTTCCTACAGCTGCTTCTTCATGGCTTCCGGGGATAATTAGTCCTTTAGCACCACCATCCTGTTTTACTGTTGAATCACAAAGAGCAAGACAAACTTCCAACTTATTCGAAGAGTTTTCACTAATTTCATTGGCCTTCACTGCCTGTTCAATCTGGCTAGCCATGCTAGAATTCTCTGCCATTGGTGATGGCTGAGCAACTGTGTTGTGTAGGAATTCCCCAGATTGTTCACTCCGACTTGCTGACTTTAAAGTCTCCACTGGCAATGACTGATCAACAGCCTCTTCTGATAATTCTATAGCAGAATTATGAGCAGTACCTTTTTCAAGTTCCAAAACATGTAGGTTACTCGCCCTTTCTGGACTCTCCCTCAATGACAATAAATGTGCTTCTGCCAAACCTTCATCTTCAGTCCTTTTGTTTTTATCCAGGTGCTCTATAACTTGATCTCCAGTAGCACCTGCCCCAGAAAGCAAGGGAACACCATTCAGTGTGTCATGTGATGCCAAGTTTGTATTTTCCAAAGTAACATCTAAAGCTGTAAAACAGAAAGGGAAAAAAAAAATGTGCAGAAAGATTATTTAACAGCCAACCACATCTGATGGGACTCAAAGCTTGGTTTGGTTTGGTTTGGTTTGGTTTAGAAAGATTATTTAACCATTTCTATTCTATCATTTGATATATGAGAATCCAAAAATAATAGTTCAAGACATACCTGGTTCATTCATTGCAGTGGTACATTCTGATCCATGAACTACCACATTGTTCACTTTCATACCCTCTCCTTGAGATGAAGGTTTAACCTTCTTATCACTGCTAAGAGATTCAATAATCTCACATTCTATATCACTAGAATCATTAGGCAACTTGGCCTTCTCTTTCTCATTGAAAGAAACATCTTGGTCATAGTGCATGTCATTAGAGTTTGGGACAAGATTTTGTTCGTATGTTTTCATTGATCCAGCCACCAAGGGAAGAGAACCATGACCTTCAGCATTTAAGTCCTCTTTGTGAACTCCAGAAGCATCATCAACGCCTTTTAAATTTTCAATTGTATGTCTTTCCCCATGGAATTCAGTTGAAGAGCATGGTACAGTCAAACTAAAGTGATCTCCCACATAATTGCTGCTGCTTCCATCACCATGGCCATCAAAAACTTTATTGTCCGCACCAGAACTGTTCTCTCCATGTTTTATCTGATCCATCTTTAACTCTGAACTAGAAGGAATTCCCGCATTCATGTTGCTGACCTCAATGGCACACCCTTCAAGATTGCCATCACCTTGAAAACCTGCAGGTAAGTCCTGATGCATATCTACCCTAAACCGCTGATGAATTCCACAGCTGTTGGACAAATCCACATGTTCAAATTTGTTGCCCTTATCAGGGTCTGTGGAGGATATAACCTCACTGCATCCTTCAGCTATCTGTAAGTTGCAAACTCCCTTCAATGGCAAACTGGTAGGCTCCTCAAAGTTATTGATACCAGTTTCAACTGAATGTTGTTCTATGGATTCTACCTTTGAAGAAGAAGACGGAAGGTTCTCCAAATTGCGAGTTCCAGTTTCAAATACAGTTCCCTTCAAAATTTGAGCATCCATATCAACCTCCTTACTGAGAATATGGTGCTCCCCTGCAGCCTTACCAGTGTTTGTTAATAAGCAATTAGCATTCTCAAAACTAGCATCACTTACCTGATTCTCAGGTTTCTGATTGACCATCTCAACACCTACAGCAATATCCTGTGAAGAGGAGTCTACATCATCAATTTGCATCCCTGAACCAGTAGAATCTTTTTGCATTCTATTGTCAAGAGATTCATGTACTGAAGTATCAACTTCAATTTGATTTTCACCATCACTTCTTCTATCAACTCCAACATTATTCTGAGTCATAAATACACCACATGTTTCACTAGAAGCATTTGGATCCAACACGTGTGAACTTCCATGGGTAGATCTTTCAGCCCCTTGAGTTTGGGAAGTACCTTCGACATCATTCAGCCTAGACACATGTTCCACAAGCTCATCTGTTGGTAATGCAGGATATGAATCCATAAAATCTGTCACTTTGTCATCTTGCTTCATATGAGGCTCCATTTGCTCAGTTAAGTTATCCAACTCATGGCAAGCATCTGATTCTTCCACAATAGTTTCTCCGCAGACAATCTCTTCCTGCCCAACAGATTTCAATAACATTTCAACAGATTCAGATGATGTTGCCTCAGACCAAACATTGTTACGCCTTGAAATGGAGCAAGATTCTGCAGCACTTGAACTAAACTCTATTCCACTACTTCCACGAGAGAAATCCTCAATCCACTGATTGTCTTCTTGACTTGATATGCCAAGAAAAACCTCGTTTTCAACCAAGCTGTCAAACCTTAGATGCCCCTGAAGGCCGTCGTCAAAATCAAACTTAGGAAGAGCATATGGACGTAGAACAGGAGAGAGTTTGGAGCCCCCTTCACCAGCTAATTGAAGATTCTGGCCTTGAAAATCATTGTTATCATAATCCATCGGTATATCCCTATGAAAACAGAAAAGTAGGTAAGAAAAGAACAAAAATGAAATAAATAAATAAGCAATTCTGTAGAAATTACAGACTAAGTTTCCAGAGGCTCAAATCTTTAATATCATATTCAAGGGAATAGAGAGCCAAAATACCATATCACAAAAAAAATAGATCAATACATACAAATAAGTTTGCTTTTTACCTTTTTTTCCCCACTGATATACATGAGCAAGTAAAATTTTTTATCAAGGGAAAAAAGAAAAAACACAACTTTTTCAAGTCGTGTTAAGTAATGTTGTCAATTATCTTTTTCTTTTTTTTTTATAGAAACTAGGAAACACGTTTTATTTATTTATTTATTTGCAAAATAACAAATAACATGTTTGGTATACACATATGTTTCAAAACAAATCAAAACAAAAACATGAAAACATGTTTGGTGAGTTGTCGGAGACATTCACCCAAAAAAAAGTTGTCGGAGAGAGAATCTAGATTATTTTTCCATAAACATAATATCACTTTTTCCTTGATAATAATTGATAGGGATATCCCCTAGTATATCAAATAATTCATCCATAACAAACGCAAATAGGTAAAGACTCAAAGTTTACCCTTGACATAATCCTACAGTGAAATTCACTGTTGTCAGCTGCCAGTGATCTAATTGAAATCACAACTCCACCATGTATGAGGCAAACAATTTCTTGGGGCCAATCCATACAGGGCTTTGCCATGGCTTTAATTGGGACCCCACAAGTGGCCAGTGGGATTGGTCCGACGGATTAGTCAGTCCAGTGGGCCGAATACCGAGTTAACAAAAATAAAAACTCCGACATACATGTCCTTTATCGCATCAATATACCTTTTGTCACACTCACCATATTGTATCTCTGGGTATCCTATTGTAAGCTTTCTCCAAATCTATAAAAAATCATATGAAAATCCCTCATCTTATCTCTCTACTTTTCTATAAATCTTCTTAGTAAATATATCACTTCTATAATTGATCTACTATGCATAAATTTAAACTAATTCTTTAATAGGCGATTCTCAATCACTCTCCCATAATTTCATTGAATAACTCATCACAATGCCTCTATAAATAATAATTTTTAATCTACTATATTTTTATATATACGCAACTGTTTTTCTCGCCGCTTGCATTTTTACCAAAATCTCGCTTTGGTCCCTCCAAGTTTAATTTCCATCAACCTCATTAACAGTAGATAAATAGAAGGGCAACCTTGCAACTTGGCTTGAAAAGGGTTGACTGTCACAATTGAAAGCAAATGGACCAATGTGAGATTTTGGTGTAAGTGCAAGGGTTTGCAAAGTGTAATTTACCCTATCTAGAAATATAAGAACCTCCAAGCAATGCAATGATTATGGTGGAACAACACCTCAATCGTCAAAAGAAGGCAATCATCAAACACCTAGAGATGTGGAGCTATTACAGTACGCTAGTTATATTTGAGTAGAGATGTGGGTCAAGTCACGCAATCATGCTAGAGCTTAGGTATTTAATTAACGTCCACAAGCTTATCCACAAAATTAACAAATGAGTAATTATGTGGATAAGCTTGTGGAAGTTAATTAACAAATGAGTATTCCTTTGTATATGATCCATCAACAATGCAGTTTTGAACTAGAAAAAAAAAAATTATAATAAGCTTAAAAGAGCGGAAGAAATGACCCCAAAAAAAAAAATTAAAGTGTGGCATAAGCAACAATTTGCAAGTTACATTGTTTTCGTTTACCAATTACAGCTTCCTTACGTGGCCATGTAAGGTAAAAAGCTCACCAGGACAAGCAGATGCATAGCTGTACATGCATAACTTTACAATGTAAGAATGAAAAATATATATATAATAGATGAAATTTTGCACCAACATCACAGGGATGCATTAATTTGTCTGCTTATAAAGGATTTTACTGCTGTCAGCTGCTCAATCATAGGCACCAGATGATATTCTGAATTTTATTGCTCCATTAACTAATATATTCCAGATAGCAGAGTGGGATGGTTTGAAAATTTCGCATGGATAGAATAACTAACTTATATATAAGAGCAGATGGAGAAGATTAGGAGGTCAAATATACATATACAAGCACTGAAATTCATAGAAAACCATGTCAAGAACCATACCAAAGCGCCAAAACAAAGAGAATAATTCCACATCCTTCGTAGTGACTTAGTGTGGATTTGGCAGTTGCATTCATAGTAACTTTTTTGTTAGTTTTTTTTTTTTTTGGTCTTTATACGAACTTTTTTTTTTAAAAAAAAAAAAAAATCACTTTTAGGTAGACTAGACTGACCTGACAAGTTTGTAAGCTAAAAAATTATTTCTTTGAAAGATTTTTGGATTTTTTTTTTTTAATTTTACTTTTTAGATCATTCATTATTCTTTCTTCTTTTTTTTTTTTAGGATCATTCTTGACTAGACCAAAAAAGTTTCTAAAGAAACAAATGCACAAATTTTTTTAAAAAAAATACTGAAGAAAAAAAATTTTAAAATAAAAATAAAAATGTAAAGCCTCAAACCCAATTGTAATTTGTAACATGTTTTGGCTTTAGAGTACTAATGCAATTACACTCCACATATAAACCCTAATTCAAACCAATCATAAAACCATAAATCTTTAACCCCCATCCTCCAAAAATTAACTGAAGAGGATAAGAAAACAATTTTCTCAAACCACTCTCACCAATTCGTGTGAGAATCAAAAGCCCTCTACGATTCAGACTAATTACAAAACTGTCTCCACTTAAATCCCAAAAAAAATAATAATAAAAAAATAAAAAAACACAAACACAAATTTTGTTAAATTCTACTCACCATTTATATCAACAAAAAGCCTTCAACTTTTGCTCTAATTACACTCAACTACTAATATCACCAAAATAGTCTACTTACAAATCGATAGAGGAAATGAACAGTACCAGAACAAGTAAGTCTAGAGACGCTACCTCCCTCCATCCGGAGACGAAATCCTGACCGTTGATCAACTCAACCCCAATCGTACGGTCTCCCGCTGCTTCATAACCCTAGGGTTCGAACTCCAACTTCCACGTAAAAACCCTAATACATTCACCAACTAACCCGCGCACTAAGTCGTCCGAGAATCCGAAATCTCCGGCGGATCCACACGAGTTTTCCGGCGACTCAAAGACGAGAACTACAAGGAGATTCGACGAGCGATACAGATATACATATATATATATAGAGAGAGAGAGAGAGGGGGAGAGAGAGAGAGAGAGAGGAGAGAGAATTTTCTTCGATTCTTTTCACTTGGGAAGAGAGAGAAATGTGTGGTCACGATCAAATTTGAAATTTAAAATCGGACGGGAACCACTGATTGACATGTAAATATGTGGGGCCCAATCGAGTTTGGTGTTTGAAATTTTAAGCAATTGTCATTTAGGGTTACGATTACAGGTAAGTGTTGATACGATTATCACAGTCATCTTCGTCGTTGTTTGTTTTAAGAACATGTGGACTTGACAGTAGAGATTGGGCTGTGTAGTTAAAGGTTTTCAATTTTTGTAATATAATATTTGGTAATGACTCAGACGACCCCTATCCCTTGAAAATATTATTAATTGTTAATTAATAAGTAATAAAATAGAGATTAGCCTACCTTAATGAAGGAGAATAAAAAATTAAGTACTGGGGTCGAACCCGGATCTAAAGATAAAATTAGAGGCATTCGTCTATTTTGAGTAACAAGTTGAAAGTTGATTTTTTAATTTTTTAAAATTTTTTATTGAATAATATTTAAAAAATAGAGATGTGATATAATTTAAAAAATTTAAAATTAAAAAAATTAGCTTTTTACCTTGTTATCAAAGGGTTGTTTTAGAAAGTATGTTAAAAATTAATTTTTTGAATTTTTTTAGATTTTTTTAAAAAAAATATATAACAAATAAAGAGATGATATAACGAAAAATATGTTAAAGTGACTTTTAAGGACATCTCTAACGATTCTTTTTTTTTTATATATATAAAATTTTCTAATGAAGGAGTTTGAGATTTTATCAAAACACCAGTCGATCAGGTGGATGTCCGGCCGGTCGACTAGCCAGTGTATTTTTTTCACAAAATTTTGCCTAGATGTTGTCATCCGGGAGGACATCCAGTGGTGAAAATTCAATGGCTATGAACAGTGATTTGATGAAAGTTCCAGACGTCCTCAATTTGGTAAAAGTTTTTTGATATCCTCGATTTGATACTAATTTGATGAAACTATTAGAGCAAGAAAAATGTTTTTTTTTCATCAAAGTTAAATTTGATGAAATAAATGACGAATCATTGGAGATGGTCTAACCTGTTACGCAAAAGAGATCAAAATATGCCATAAGGATCTTAAATCTTGGGATCACGGGAGGTTTGTTCGGTTATTAATTTTAAGTTGGTTCATGCATCTGATTATAAAAAATAAAAATAAAAAATTTAGTTGGATCGGTGTTAAAAGAAAATTTTTATATCAAATTAATTTTTTTTTATTTTATTGATTGAAAAACTAAAACCAATTACATTTTACAGTATGGTTTTATTAATTTGATTTAGTGTAAATGAGATATTTACAAAAAATTTTAAAAGATTGTATTTTAAAAAATTAGATTTTACATTAAAAATAATAAATAAAGAGCAATGATAGAGATTACTTTATAAATACCTCATTTCCTAACCTTTATTACAAAATGATTGAGTTTTTCTCAAATTCACACTTAAATTTGAGAGAACTTGATAGCACTTATGATCCACCACGAGTTGTGTTTTAATAATTTGAATAATTTATTTTGAGTAACCTCCAATGTATCATGAAAAAAGTAGTTCAATACAATAGATTGTTCATTTTTTATTGATTTATAATTATCATATGAACCTAATTTTTTTCATAAATGTTATACATTGACGCCATGTTTGATTCACAAGACTAATAATGAGATATTAATAATCCTATCAAATTAGTATGGTATTCACTATACCACCCTTATCCCATTACTAATAATCCTACAAATTTGTTGGATTAATTATCCATTAGATTAATAATCCTAAACCAAAATGTCAAAACAAACATAGGATAATTGAGCTCACGGATTAATAATCTCAATCACATGCTTTAATCATTCCAATCAAACGTGCCCTAAAGGTTATACAAAATAAATGATTTGGATCATCGAAACAAGGGCCCACGAGCCCCTCAAGGTTTCTCAAATTAATATGTTAATAGGAAGGAAATCCAACCCGTTACAAAATATGTATTATTGATAGAAAATGCTATAGGTTCCAAATTTTTTATCAAATAAATGATCAAATATCTCACATGAGTGTGAGGTTCACAAAATTACAGACTCCACACTCATGTGAGATATTTAGTCATTTATTTAGTAGAAAATTTAGTATTCCTAGCATTATCCTTATTAATTATTAATTTTTTATGTTAAACAAATATTTAAATATAATATTTGATTTCTCTGATTTGTTACCTCAAAATAGAGAAATGTTTTGGTTACCAACAAGGATCACCGAATAAATTACACACTATTCATATGGATGTGGGTCTCACATGGGTATGGGCCCACATTCACATCTATATAGGACTCATAAAATACATAAATATTTTGTATAACAGCAAGACTACCAAATAAATTAAACACTGCTCACATAGATGTAGGTTCCGTATGTGGGACCTACATTCATGTTAGGAAAGTGGTAAGAATTTTAAATATTTTATCAACATTTCTATCACATATTTCACATGGGTGTATGACTCATATCATGTGAGTCCCATGTGAGTCCTGCACCTATGTGAGAAATTTGATAAAAATGGCCCTAACATTATTCTTCATGTTAATAGTGTATAAGTCTTAGGAGTGAAAAAATGATCCGTAGCCCATGAGCGACCCAAAGTCCACTCGCAGCTCATTTGGGCTCGAGTACAGACCAGCCCACCTAACCCAATCCATCGGCCCGCTTAAGGCTCACTCAAGGCCCAACTCGCCGGAGGCCAAATGTCTTTTGTAGTGGAAAATAATAAAATTTTGGTTGAAAAAAATAAATTTGTTCAGGCCCGCCCAAGCCTGAGCCCGAGCCCGAGCCCAGGCCCACCGGTCAGCCCAAGGCTCGAATACCCTTGGGCTTCGGCCTAATTTTCTAACATGTGGGCCACCCACCCCAAATTTTGATAGAAGCCTGCGAGGCCCGACATGGGCTGGGTCGGACCAAATTTACACCCCTAATAAGTCTATTTTAGAAAGTAGATTAAAAATTAGTTCCAAAAAATCAAAAGTTGACTTTTCACCAATTTCTCAAAATAGACATAGAGGCGTTTGGCAAGTTAGATGTTAGCCTTTTTTGGCTAAGGCCAAGTTTGGGAAGACTAAAAAAGTGTACTTTTTGTCTTTTTGGACTAAAAAATTGAGGTTGAAAATATGGATGTTTGGGTTAACTTTTTGACTTTTTATTGAAAAATGTGTAATAAAAAATTGTAAAAATTGATTTGTAGAGAAAAATTTTAATTGGGAGTTGTGCAGCCGTAATTGTTGACTTTTGGTGAATAGTGTTAACTTTTTAACTTTTTGAGTAACTTTTTGACTTTTTGACTTTTTTTGAAGTCCCCAAACTTTCACAAAAAAATAAAATATGCTAAAACAACTAATAAAACAAAATGTCACATAAAAATCATAATTATTTCACTTTTTTCTCTCACAAACATCACATCTAACTGCAAAAAAATCAACTATCTTCCCAAATACAAAAATTTTAGCCTACTAAAATAGCCAAAAATTAAAATAACCCATTAAAACAGTAACTTTCCAAACAGCCACACAGTTTGTTCTAATTTTATGTCTCAAAATTTAAATTGAGGGCTTTAAGTATAACAATGTTAGAATTTTTTTATTAAATTTAAAACAAATTTTTACTTCATAAGAAAAAGTATCAAGTAAGAAAAATACTAGCGATTGGTGGGGGTTATCAGAAAATTGTCACCGATGGCTGGAGCTAGTGACCGGGTTGTGACAATGCAGCGGGTCTACCCCTTCACCCTTGGAGATTATTAGGTGCAACTGGAGGTGGCAACGACTAATGTAGCCAGGGTAATTTTACGAAGGGTAATTTTATTTAAAAAATATTAAATATCATTAAACTAACAAAACTATTTTAATTGTTCATAAACTAGTAAAATTCATTGAATGAAGATCTTTATTTTATTTTATTTTTAAAAAAGGTGTAGTGTTAGTCATAGGCCTTATTTGGTGTAGTTTAATTAAAGTTGAAAGATTGTAATTACAAAATTGTATGTGAAAGGGTAATTTATGTGTGAACTTGGGTCGAGCTAAGACCATATGAAAAGTGGACCAAGCTATGGGCCGAGGTAATGGCCTGCATAGCTTTGTCCTTGATCCCGTCAGTTCGGTCAAGAATGTCTGCTAGTAGCTTGGTCTGGGTGCTCTGGACCGAGATATAGATGGAAGGAGAACCGAGTTGGAAGGTGCTCTAGACCAAGGTAACACCGAGCTAAGTGAGCGCGGTTAAAACTATTGCAAGGCAAGGCAGTGTTAGCTCAGTTATGCTGCTAGCAGACCATAGTAGAGCCATCTCACTTGGTTAAGCAGTGAGGAGGGTGTAAAATGATAAGCATTATCTTTGTGATTCCTAGGAGAACTCTACTAAAGAGAGTTGAAGTCCTACTAGGATTGTGCCAGGCGGAATCTATAAAAGTTCATGACAAGACCTATGTATAGGTATCACAATTTTTACTCTCTAATACACGGAGCTTATTGTCTATTGTCTAATTGCTGACTTCGGCATCGAAGGGGTTTTCGGCACATATTCGTCGGCTAGCTTACGTTTGTGTTTTTAGGTAGTAAAGCAATGACGTTTGGAGGAGTGCAAACTTGATCAACAGGATTATACGAGAAGATTAAATCGTGCTCGTACAATTGACGTCGTCTGTGGGAATAGCAGAAAGAACAAAACCTTTTGAATCAAGTTTTTCTCTTTAGTTGAAATGAATGGCGAACAATGAATATTTGCCGTAATCTGCTATTGATGGGCAAACCCCGGAGGGAGGCGGAAAACGTGAAGGCTTACCTTTTTTCCCACCCATGGCAGAGTTAAACCCCCAACGACGGAACTCCCGGAGGGACATACGGGAGAGACGGGGCTCCAGTCCTCATCGCTCTCAAAGTCCTGAAAGGTAGAGGCAGAGGTTGCATCTTCCGGTTCTGGAGGATTGCGTAAGGGATCAATATGAAGTAATAAGAAGAATGGTGGC